TGCTCCATTTTTTCTCCTTCTTGTATCCCTGTTATGCGGATATTACGTTTCTGCATTTCCCTGAACGCCTCTTCATTCTTTTTTAATCTTTTTTTCATTTTCTTGCTCTTTCTGGGAGCTTTTTTCTACCTTATCCTCCAGCTCACTGATTCTTTCCTCTGCTTTATCTAGCCTGCTTTTGATTCCTTCGACTGTGTTCTTCAATTCAGATATTGGATTCTTCATTTCCTCTTGTCTCATTGATAGTTTCTATATTCTTTTTCATGCTGATATAGTTTACAGTAAGTTCCTCATAGTTTCCCTGTAGTTTTTTATAATTCTCTTTGAGCTCACTGAGCTTCCTTAGAACCGTTGTTTTGTACTTAATATTTGATAGTTTACTTTCCGCTATTTCATTTACTTCTCTTTCTGGGGATTCCTCCTTTCCCTTTGATTGGGGGGTGTTTCTTTGTCTTCCTTTTATTTGTGGGGCTCTTCTCTTTTGCTTCTGCTTCTTCAATTGATCTGTCTTGATAATCCTGACTTTGTAGTGTCAACTTCTATAGCAGGAGACCGCTGTTTTTTATCTCTCTGGATCTGCTTCTGATGGTTTCATATGTTAACCCTGTCTGACCTTAGGCAGCCTGTTCAAGACTTCCAGGAATCTACTGTCTGTGGCTATCTCCCTCAGCTATTAATCTGGTCCCTCTGCATTCAGCAGGCAGTCTTAGAGACACCACAGAGTGGAGCAGATATCCTCATGGGGTGGTTATTGGGGTCCTCTCACACTGCTGTTGCTGAAGGGAATGGTTTCCCTGAGCAAGATGGCTGTTGCCCTATGGGGGAAGAGTCAGCACCGGGATCCTGCCAGCTACTCTCTTCATTCTCTCCCGTAAGCCTCCGTCCCCAGTCTCTCCTCAAGTGTCTCCAGACCACTCTGTGCTCTCTTTAGCCAGAGATCTATCTGTGGCTGCCACTCTGCACTCAGCAGGGAATCTTAGAGATATCACAGCGGCGGGGGTGGGGGGGTGGGTAGCCAAGGCCCTCCTTGGGGTGGGTCTATCGGGTCCTCTCAGGCTGTTGCTGCTCAGGGGAGTGGTCTGCCTGAGCAAGATGGCTGCTGTCCTCTGGGGGTGAGTCAGCACTGGGATCCTGCCAGCTTCTCTCTCAGTTCTTTCCCCAAAGCCGCCTTCCCCTGTCTCTCCTCAGGTGTCTCCAGCAAACTCTTCCACTGCCTTTCCCTGAGCCCAGTGTAAGGGGCTGCCAATAAAAATGTATGCATTGGCCTTTTAAACAGCTCTTTGTGTCTCCAGCTGCCTGTCCCTGACAGAGAGCAGCCCTGCCACTTTTCACAGCTGGCTGTTACCTGTGTTCTTTTTAGGCTCTGGTGCTGTAGGCTGGAGATCCTGGCTTATGGTTTAGATCCCTCTCTTCTCAGGGGGATCCAATCGGCTGTTTCTATATCTGCCTGATGCTGCCTCCCTTGGGTGCCCAGCCTGCCTTCTTGAGTCTGTACCACACTCCTTACCAGTAAGGTTGTGCTAAAGCTGATTTTTCTGTCTGTTTGAGGTTATAAGGCTCCCCTTTAACTATTGTTCAGTTGTTTTTTCCAGGTGATTTCTCCACAATTTAGTTGTAATTCCAGGTTGGTCCTGGGAGGAGGTCAGTGTTGACTTCCACTCACTCCTCCGCCATCTTGGTTCCTCAATCTGGGCCCTGATTGACTTTTTGAATGTTGAACGAATCTTGCTTTCCTGGGATAAATCCCAGTTGATCATGATGTATTTTCCTTTTTATATATTGTTGTTATATGCCATTGTATGTATTCTTAAGAGTTTTTTTGTAGCTTTTTTAGAATGTCTTTGTCCATAAGAAATTTTTCATGAATAGTTTTTCTGATAGAATATATTTTGTGGGGAAGAGTTTGAGTAAAACTAGTATTTTTTTTCTTCCTTTATGTTTGGTGTAGGATTCTCTGGTGAAGACATCTTTGTAGAGCTTTTTTAAAAAGGGTTAAAAATTTTTTTTGAGGGGGAGTGATTTTTTTCTGATTCTTTATTATTAGAAGTTGAAATAATTGTACAATAAATATTCATATATTCACCTGCTAGATACATTTTCTTTATCACATATCCATGCATCAATCTACCTATTATTGATATATTTCAAATTTTTTATAGACAACCAAATATTTCATCTCTTAATACAATACATTGCCTTGTATCATTTGTGAGTTTAATATTTTTAGATTTTTTTTAAATTTTTGAAGTAAAATTTAAATATATTAAATGCATGTCTTAAGTGTACCTATATGAATTTTTGATAAATTCATACGTTTGTGTAACCCAAATCTCATTTAAGATTAGGATCAGATCATTACCATTACCCAGAAAGTTTTCTCATACCTCTTCTCAGACAGTCCCAACCCATACTCCCGAGGCAAGGGCTGTTCAGGGTTTTTTCTATAACTAGTTTTGCTTGTTTTATAACACCATAGAAATGGAATAGTATAGTATTCATGTGTGTGCGTGAGAGAGAGAAAGAGATCTTTTACTTGGCATACGAATTTTGAGATGGCTCTGTATTGTATGTTAGTAGTATAATTCCATTGAGGTCAGAGAGCATGTTCCATATTATGACATACTCTTGCCTTATCACCTGTTGTATGGTTAATTTTTATAAATGTTGTTACTGGTATTTTCATCTTGTTGGATTTATGTTTCTATATGTCCTTTCAGTCAACCTCATTAGTCTGCTGTTTGTTTCTTAATTCTTTTAAAAATCTGCTGGTTCGTGTGTACCCTGTTGTTCTTCATAGTTTAACGTTATCTTAAAATTTAAGTATAACAAAATTGATTCCTTGTGGTATACAGCTTTATGAGTTTTGACAAATGTATATAATTGGGTCTGTACTCACAGTCGAAATGCAATTCCATTAACTAAAAATACCCTCATGATACCCCATTGTCTGTCAGCCTTTCTTCTCGCCCCCTGCCTCTGGAAATTGCTAATTTGTTTTCAATTCCTTTAGTTTTGCCTTTTCCTAAATGTCATATAAGTGAAATCATACCGTTTGTAGCTTTTTGAATATGATTTAATTTACTTAACAAAATGCATTGAGATTCATGTATGTTTTTGCATGTATTAATAGTTGTGCCTTTTTGTTGCTGAGTAGTATTTCATTTTATTGATGTACCAGAATTTGTTTCTCCAAAAACATTTGAGTTGCTTCCAGTTTTTGGCAAATAAGAATGAAACAGCTAAAAACATTGATATACAGGTTTTGTTGTGGACCTAAGTTTTCATTTCTCTTGGGTAATACATTAGGAGTGAGATTGCTAGGTTTTGTGTAAGTGTAGTTTTAACTTCATAAAGATCTAGAGGGTTAAACCATAGATTCTACTTCTTTAATTCTGTTTAGGTTATTGATTTTTTTTTTCCTTGAGTGAACTTTAGTAATTTTTATCTTTCAAAGCACTTATTCATCTCATCTGTTGAATTTACAGGCGTAAAATTCCCCAACCTCCCTGGCTTTTCTTTTTAATACCTGTGGAATCTGTGGTAAAATTACTTCTCTTTTTGATATTTGAAATTTGTGACTTCTTTTTTTCTGACTACTTTGGCTGGAGGTTAATCAGCTTTATATATCTTCTTCAAGAACTAAGCTTTGGTTTCATTGAGTTTTGGCTATTGATTTTGTTTTCTGTTTTGTTGACTTCCACTTTTGGTTTTTGTTATTTCCTTCCTTCTGCTTATCTTGGCTATTATACTTCGGGTTTAACATGATATAGAATGTTATCATATAGCATGTGTGTTTGGTTTTTAGGTGAGAACATGAGATAGCTAATACCAAGATTTCAGAGAGAATGAAATTAGTACTGCTTTTAATTAGTAGAAGGACACAGGGTTTTCTTTTTGTTTTTAATATTTATTTTTCTCCCTGTTCATCTGACATGTTTCTAATTCTGAATGAAGCATATCTATAAATTATGAAAGTACTTGGAATTCCCATGACTAGCCCATTGAAATTTACTACACTAGAGCTATCAAAGTTAAGTATGTGGCATCTTTTAAGTGTGTCAAAATATTGTGAGGAATAAAATTCTATTTTTGTCTCTAATCTTAGCAATTATTTAACCTAAAGTACTATACGATGTTTACTTGAACTCGGACTATAAAGCATGGAAATCCTGAGGTCTTCCCAAATGACTATTAACTGAAATATTAGGTAGCTATGGAGTTGTTTTCATTTGGTGTGCTTTAATATATGAGATTAAGAAATTTCTGTTCCGGATGGAGTAGAATTTGTATTACTCTTAGGTTGTCTTTCAAAGCCTGAATTAAATCAAGGAAATAAATTGCTCTACTATTTGAGCATTTTATTCAAATACTTTTTAATCATTTTTTAAAAGATTTTATTTATTTTTAGAGAGGAGGGAAGAGAGGGAGAGAAACATTGATGTGAAAGAGAAACATGGATCAGTTGCCTCTCGTGTGCCCCCAGGCTGGTGCTCAACCTACTGAGCCATACCAACCGGTGCACTTTTTTAAAAATACTAAAGCAGATTTGATTTCCTTTGTAAGTAGAAGGAATTTTATTTTTTAGACCAGATGAAATTAGCTTGAAAATCCTTTTGTTTCTTTTTTAAAATGCTTATTTCTTATGTAGTCTTGAATAAGAATTAAAGGTGCTATTAGAAATTGGAGTATTGAACCCTAGCTGGTGTGGCTCAGTGGATTGAGAGCTGGCCTGTGAACCAAAGGGTTACCGGCTCAATTCCTAGTCAGAGCACATGCCTGGGTTGTGGACCAGGTCCCTAGTAGAGGGGGCTCAAGAGGCAAACACACAATGATGTTTCTCTCCCTCTCTTTCTCCCTCGCTTCCCCTCTATAAAAATAAATAAATAAGATCTTTAAAAAAAAAAGAAATTGGATTATTGATAAAGCGATGTGATAATTATAGAACTACATGAAAATTATTTTACTTTTCTAATTGTTTAATGTTGCATTTTGTCTTTTAGATCCTATTTGACCAAACTCAGAGATCCATTAAGGCCCAGCTTCAGAACTTTGTTAAAGAGTAAGTCAATTGCAGTGAAGAAAAAAGAAGAGCAGTTAGTTAATTATTACACCTGGGAGTTGCTATCTTTGGAGAGAAATTATGGAACAGGAATTATGAAAATACCAGAGTATTTTGTTTTGCTTTGTGAAATTTATACTGCATTTTTTTCCCCAGATTATTTTGCAAACAATCAGACTTAATGCCTTATAGTGAATCATTTATACTATGAAATGTTCAGGATACATTACACTATGATGTGTTCAGGATACATAGCTAGAATTGTTATAAATTTAAAAAAATTATCTAATGACCTTTCAAAATGAAAGCAAACCCCAAGCGTGGTTGAAATACTGTCAGTTTAGTGTAGTTGATATTGTTTTCATTGTCTCGTTATGGCATTTCCTTCGAAGAGAAGATAATATATGATAATGATAAGTGAAAGTGCATGCTTTGTACTACATATGAGCCTTTTGTGTTACGTTTACATTTCAATGTGAAATAAAATGAAACTAGAACTAAAAAAAATACTGAACTTTCCCAGTTTTCATTTTCCACATTAACAGTTCAGATTTTCTCCAGTAATTCCTGATTGAGGAAATATAAAATTGCAGGTAAAGTTGATTATAATGTAGTATTTAGGATAAATTATAGTTGTTATAAGCTGTAAGTAGTGGCAGACCACATGAATGCAATGCACTGCTGTTTAGTAGGTTAGAATTGTTCTAGTGGAGGTGATGTCTTGCAGATTCTTTATAGATTAATTTCATAATAAACTGATGTTCAGAATGTCCTGATAGAGTGTATGCATGAAAATTACTGGCTTCTTACAAGGCTTCTTTCTTGGGTAAACTTTATTATTATTACTGTTTTAAAATTGTTTCACTTCAAATAATTTTGCTTACTTCTCTGATAGAAAAAAAAGCAAAATGATGTTATGTACTTACCTAAGATCATTAATGAATTAAGGATTTCAGATTTTCAGACTATTGAAATGAATGCTATTACCCATTTTGGGTACAAGAATTCTTTCAGAAAGCATTATAACTTTGTGTTTGAAGAATATTCATGTCCTTTGGACCAGTAGTTCCCTCCAAGAAGAAATGAATGTTGTTTCTTAAAGTGTGATCTGAGACAACCCGTAGTAGTAAAATCAAGAGTGTATCTTTAAAAACCTCTGCCAGTTTCTAGGATTTATCCTACAGACTAAAGATTTATAATCTCTGGGAGAGGAGGAGCCTTGGAATTTGCATTTTTAACAAGTTCCCATGGTGCTTCTTATACTACTATTTAAAAATCATTTGTTTAAGTAATGATACATGTCGCTGAATTTGTCTTTAGAGGAAAAATAATTAACTTGGCCTTTTATGTTTCTGTAATGTTAACTTGATAATTTATTTTCAACTCAAATTCATAGCTAAGTAAGGAGATGTTAGGTGACTATGTTTGGAATTGTATATAATCAAAAAGCAATATGTATTATAGTTGGAAGAGTGATTGAGTGTTATTGCACAGTGAATCAAATACATAGAGGAATATGAGAATTAAATTCTAAATGTTGTTTTTCCTAAAATTTTTGATCAAGAAACTTTTATAAAAGTTTCACTGTTTTTATTATTTTTTAGAGATCTTAGAAAATTCAAAGATGCCAAGAAGCAATTTGAAAAAGTCAGTGAAGAGAAAGAAAATGCATTAGTAAAAAATGCTCAAGTACAGAGAAACAAACAGCATGAAGTTGAAGAAGCCACAAACATTCTGACGGCAACAAGAAAATGTTTTCGACACATAGCCCTCGACTACGTACTTCAGGTATATTTGTTATATATTTTCAAAAAATGCTTAGTAAACATGTCATTACTTTGGAGTGATTGCCCTGCAAAAGAATTAATAATAGTTTTTTTTTTGTTTAAAATTAAACTGAAATTTTGTGAAAAAAATTTCTTTTGTATATCTCTCTGTGTGTAGATAAATAAAAATTTGGTTAAGATTTCTCTCTTTTTTCAGTTAACATTATATATCCCACCATTTTAAACGTTGTAAAAAGCATTTTTAATTGCTACATTTTGTTTTGTGGAGTTGCTGTGCCAATTTAATTAATATTTGATTATGAGATACTTTTAGTGTTTTCAGTTTTACTGGTAATAGTGAAAATACAATTTTCAGTAATTTTAAATGATAATAACATCTTCATATACATTTTTCACAACATTTCTGATTATTTCTTTAGAGTAGATTTTACAGGTACTATGGTGCGCCATACTGCCAAATGAAAAATACTTATAGAAGTAGTGTTCTCATGTTTTGCATTAGGTGCTGCTTTTTAAAACTAGGAGATCAATGTTTGGTAAGTTGCCTGGTAATCTTCTGGTCCAATGTATAATTGAAACCAGTGTGATTTGAAGGCGACAGGTCTCTAAAGAAATTTGAAAAAAAAAAAAAAATGAAGGCATTACTTCACATTTATATTATATGTCTCTATAGATAGACTATAAAGTTTAAAGCTTAGAAGTTTTAATGCTTAGGGAATTATCTTTTCTAAATCTCTTTTTATAAAACAGCAGTGAGTTCCCAGAAATTATTGACTTAATGATGATCAGACACTATTTCTTAAAATAATACATAAATAACAGTATACAAGTTAGTGATTATAAACTACTCAGATAACTTTGCAAGACAGTAGAAAATGACTTTGAGTTTTTGTTAAGTTCTTGTTAAATGACAGCTTAAATTTCAAAAATTGAAGTAAACTCCCTTTATTAATTAAAGGCTTCTAGAATGGAGTAGTCTATATTCCCTATCTCCTGTTACCTGCCTCACATTCATACCACTTCCTCTGGTAGTATGAGTTCTCAGTCTGCCCTGTTCCACTGATATGGCTCTTGATAAAGTGTTATTCATTAGATACATTTTTGTTTTTAACCAACTTAGCTATTTTGTTCCACCGAAAATGTAAGCCATACTTTCTTTCTTGAAATATACTTTTGTCTTGATTTATCTCAAACCACTTTTAGGTCATCTTCTATTTCTTTTCAACTTCCTCCATTGGCTTCTCTCCTTTGCCCACCTTTTCAATCTTTTTCAGGGCTTTATCTTCGGTCCTATACTTTTCTGGCTTTATAATTTCTCTGAGAGTTTCATCATGCCCCTGTGCCTGATTAATCACCATCAAGATATGATGAACTTATTCTTTTTTGCCAGAAGTACCGCATTCTTTTTGTGTCCAAAACCGAAATCTTCTTCCCAAACAGCTTCTTTTTGTTCTTACCTAACTGAATGGCATCCAAACTAGGAGAATTAGAACAGATATTTTCTTCATCCTCAGCTACTATGTCTAACAACCAAAAACTACCTTAAGTAGTTTTATGTACCTCTTAAATCCTTTCTCACTCTTGCTGTAGCCCTAATTGTTTCTTCTGTAGGATATTAAGATGTTCTCATGTAGCTCGTCTTTCTTACATTGCTTTTACCAGCTCCGTTACTAATTCACTCTATGTCCTGTGGTCATAGTTACACAAACTCCTCCAGACAAAATGAATCATTTTTGACTCTGCCTCCATTATGCTTCTATAATATTATCATACACATTGCTGTTGGAGCATTTAACCTATTTATTGCAATTATTTATTTATATGTCTTTTCTGTTCCTATATGTATCTCTTCCCTCTAGTCCAGTCATTAGAAAATAGGTAATAAATGTTTCTTGCAAGAATGAATGGCCTAATTTTAAATTTAATTTGGGGAGGGGAATTCAGCTAAAATATTCGTTACTTTCAGACTTGCATATTATGAATTATCTGTTTCCTTTGGTATCCATCAAATGCTTTTAAGTTACAAGTCCCACCTTACCTAAAACTATTAGTTTGTTTGATTTTGATTAGAACTGTTGTGTTACTTTATGATATGGCCATACTATTTAATTTGGAAACTAATAAGCAATAAATATCCAGGTTTATAAAGTTTATCATGCTGTAACTCTCTAAATATTTGAATTTACTTTTTCACCCCAAGTAAATGCTGTTTTTCATAGCCGGATGGGGGGACAAAACAAAACAAAAGGCACTTTTATCATTTTTCGAAGTTTGAGTAATAGGTTATTTATAGTCTCTGCTTTTACTTAGAGCATTTGAAAGTTAATATTTTAGTTATCAAAACTTGAATAGACCTTGAAAGAGACAAACAGAAGAAACTAGTACTTAGTTAAGCAAAGTTATTTGTGCTTTTCTTGGTCTGTTTTTGTTTTTTGTCAGTGCTTTAAAATTACTTATAAAATCAAAGGCAGAATATTCAGTGAGGACATAGTGAAAAAAACAGGAATTCTGTAATACCTGTACTTGACAATATTAACAAAAAGTGAACGATTCTCTTGTGTAAATATTTTATTTTATTAAATTGATATATAACAGACAAAAATAAAATGTTATGAATTTCTAGTGTTGGGAGAGATACCACAAAATACACATTTCATAATTTACTGATCGTTTAGTAAGTTTAGTCTAATTAAAATATTTACTTAAAATTTAAAATCTATCAAATTAGTTAACAAATATTTAGAGTATTTACTACGTACCACATAGAAAATTCAGCTGAGAATAAGACAAGGTCCTGATCTCACAGAGCTTACGCTTCAGTTGAGGAAAAGACATTAATAAGAAAATTTAAGGTAGTTGTGATTGCTATGAAGAAAATAAATAGAGTTCACATACTAGAGAGTGTGCACTGCCTACTTTAGACCTTTGTGAAGAGATAGTATTTAAGCTGGGACCTGATTAGTAAGATACAGCCCTGTGTTCACCTGGGCAGAATATCATGACGTGAAGTTAGAACAAGTATGTGAGCATTGAGGTGGGAGTAGTCTTGGGTTGTGGTTGAACACAAAAGGGAAAAGTGGTAGAAAACTAAGTTGGAGAGGTAGGCAGGGCCCAATCACAAAGGACTTTCAACAGCTATGTTAGAGAGTTGGAAGGTTTCAAGCTGGAGTGAACATGATCTTATTTACATTTTAAAAGATCACTCTGGTTGCTGAGTCAAGAATGGAAACACTAGGTCATAGACTATTGCAACAGTTTACAAGAGATATGATGGTGTTTGATGGTAGTGGTAAAAGTGATGATAATTTGCATTAGAATGTATGTTGAAGGGTCTTGGTGAGCAAATTATATAAGGAGGATATAGAAAAGATGGAAATCTAAGAAATTCAAATATCTATCAAAGTGATAGTTTTAGCACTACCGTATTATGATTTAAACTCAGTTTTTCTTTGAGATCAAACATAGATAAGAGTTTCATTGGTATGTTTCTTTACTTTTTTCACAAAAAGTAGGCCAAAGGATGAAAAAATTGAATTTTATTTTTATTTACTTCTCTGGAAAAATGTTAAACTATTAGAATAAGCAACTTTTACAATATTGCATTATGGATTACCTTGTAAAATAATGACTAATGAAGTGTATTTTCCTTTAGATTAATGTCCTTCAATCAAAAAGAAGATCAGAAATCCTAAAATCAGTAAGATATTTATTAAAATCATGTTTTAAATATTTTAATATGAACCTATATGTACATATTTAAGTGTATAAAGAAGCATGTGTGTATGCACGCGCATGTGTGTGTGTGCACACGCATTGGGTTGGCCAAGAAGTCCATTACTTTTTTCCCATACAATGATTGCTCTAGTCGCATTTAGCTGTCTTTAACTTCATTCGAAAAAATTTTGTTAGATTGTGACAGCTGTTAATATCAGTGTGCATTTTAAAAAAAAATCAAAATTGGTGGATATGTGTACAGCCATTTTAATGATGAAAATGTAAAGGAGACATTTTCCTACACAACATTTTCAGCTTATTTTGTTGTAGTATTTCAAAAAAGGTAAAAAGCGCAACTGAAACGCAAAAAAGCCCCCAGATTTGTGCGTTGTACGGAGAAGGTTCTGTGACTGATTGACCGTGTCAGAAGTGGTTTGAGAAGTTTCTTGGTGCTACTGACGTTTTGGCCAAATAGTTCTTTGCTGGGGGCTATCTTATGCTTTAGCAGGTGTTTAGCTGCACTCCTGGCCTCTACCCACTAATATCCTGGGTATATTATTCCATACTCAAAATATCCAAATCAATAAAGTTATTGTTGAAAATGAAAAATGTGTCTTTTATCGTTGGGAAAAAATGTAAAAAATGTAACGGATTTTTTGGCCAACGCAGTATATGTATGTGTAGACATATTTATTTATTCCAGGTTCATAATTAATCCTACTTTTTATTTATCTTTTTGTACTAAATATATATCACCTACTTTTTTGTCTCCTTCATCTTATAGTTATTTATGTGTATCTCATCTCTTAATATACTGATCTCCTTAAATCAGATGCTTAAATATTTGAGAATGAGGGCACACATAAATAGTCAGCATTTAGAGAATTTTTTTCCCCTAAGGTTGCTGATGTATCAGTCAGCCTTTAGGTTTGTTCTTTGGTACGCAGTTAGAAAACAAATGGGATGAAAATTGAGGATAACTTTTTCCTTAGCCTCTACACCTATGTTGACACTGATCTTTTTCCTGCTTTTTTTTTTGTTGTTGTTGTTTTTAAAGTTAATAAGGAAGTGGGCAGGAAATGGTAGTGATATGACATTACACTCTCATATTTTGAAAACCTTAGAAATAATTTTTATGCTCTGATGCTGTTTTTTTTGAAAGGATATATTTGAGTTGTTCTCAATCCTTTTGTCTACCTAGCTTTTCCCTAAATTCTGTGTTTTATGTTATTTCTTATTGGATAAGCACATTTTGCTACCTGTTTACCTCTACTTTCTTTTCCAGATTGAGAATAATGTTGTTAATTGTAGAACACTGAAAAATAAAATGTATGAAGAAAAAAGTAAAAATACTTATAAATCCTACTACCAAGGGAGAACCACTGTTAATGTCTTGGTTTATATTTTTGTATTTTTCCTCTTTTTCTGTGTGTGGGTATGTATGTACGTATATGTAAACATGCCTGTGTACTTTTTTTAATTGCATTTAATTTTAAAAGAAAATAGAAATCATTTCTTTATACTGTTTTATAACTTTGTATTTTTATAAAAGATTTTATTTATTTATTTTTTAGAGAGAGGGGAAGAGAGGAAGAAAGACAGGGAGAGAAACATCAATGTGTGAAACACAGTGGGTTCCCTCTTGCACGCCCCTAACCAGGGACTTGGCCCACAACCCAGGCATTTGCCCTGACTGGGAATTAATCAGTGACCTTTTGGATTCTAGGATGATGCTCAACCCACTGAGCCATATCTATCAGGGCCTTTTTTTAACTAATATACTCCCAAATCATCGTAAGACATTAAATATTTTTTATTTAATGATGACTTTTGCAGCCAGGTGAGCTTTACCATGTAAATTTACAAGGCGTGGGAAAATTTATTTTGAAGGGCCAGGTAGTAAGTATTTTAGGTTTTGTGGGCAGTATGGTCTGTGTTACAACTACTTAGCTGTGCTGTTGTAATGAGAAAGTAGCCATAGACAATATATAAATGAATAACATGGCTGTGTTCCAATAAAACTTTTTTATGAACATGGACATTTGACTTTTATTTAATTTTCATGCATCATGAATTTCATGTCTTTTCATTTTCTTTCAACCATTTCAAAATGTAGAAACCATTGTTAGCTTATAGGCCATTGAAATACAGGTGGTAGAGCTAGGTATTGTTTGCTGGTCATAGGTTTCTGATCTTGTATATACCATAAATTAACTTCACCTGTTAATGGATTTTTTAAGTAATTTTCACATTTTTTACGTTAAGGTATAGCATTATAATGAATTTTTCTAATGAATAGTGTTATTTCTTTGGCTAGATTAAGGCAAGAGATTACTTAGTGAAAGGGTAAGTGCATTTATTAAGGCTTTTTAAAAATACTGTGAAGTTTCGAGGGTTACACAACATTTCCACTTGTAGCACATGTTAGTAAATGTTTGTCCACATTTTACCAACACCAGGTATTAGTGTCCCCCCCCTTATACACAATTGGCTTAATAATGTGATCTGATTGTTCAGTTTTGCACTTACTTAATACAAATGAATTTGAACAATTTTTCCATATTTTTTGTCTATCTGTGTTCTCTATTTAGGTTTGTTCTTTGGTACGCAGTTAGAAAACAAATGGGATGAAAATTGAGGATAACTTTTTTTCCTTAGCCTCTACACCTATGTTGACACTGATCTTTTTCCTGCTTTTGTTCCTTTTTCTGTTGGAATATTCATCTTTTTAATACTAAGTTGTAACATCTCTCATGTATTAAGACTATTAATGCTTTGTCATGTGTTGTTTTCCTTGTTTATCATTTATTTTTTTTAATATGCTTATGTGTTTTGATGTGCTGGTCTATTTTACATTTTTTATGTAGCCGTGGCTATTAATATCCCTTCTTTTGGAATATAATTCAGTGTTTTATATTCACAAAGTTGTTACAACCACCTTTATCTAATTCCAGAATAATCTTTTAGTGAGCTTTGTCTTTTTGTCTTTGTGTTTTATTTTATTGCTTTTTTTCCTTTTAGAAACATTTCTTCTGAAAGATTCTAGAGTACTAAGGACCTTATGAACTGTTTTTAGATTTCAAGGAATTGAACATGTTTCTTCTTGCTAAAAATAACATGGATGTTAGAGGATTCTTTTAATATTGTGATTGAATTGTTTAATTCCTTCTCATGTTCCAGCTTAACTAGGTAAAAGTAGGGATGCTTTTTCTCTCATGAATAGGTAACATATAGGAAAAACTTGGGAAAAAATGACATTTTGGATTTTTGCAGTGAATATAAAGAAAACTCCATAGCAGAGTCTGTTGACTCATTTTATTTTGGTACCTTGAAAAAAATAAAAAAGAGTATCTTCCTCCTTTGGGTTGTGCTTGGTCATCTAGTGGGTTGTAAAGTGTTTGTGATTGTTTTGAATTCTTACTTTTCCTTTTAATCTTTTAATGTCTTACTTGCAATTTAAGGTTTTGCCACTGAGTTTGGTTCAAAATCACATAGATATTTTATGATGTACCTAGGAGGATGGTGAAGCTATTGCAAACTTGATTCATTGAACTATTACTGTGATCTGTTTTGATCATCTGGATATAGTCCAAACAACTAAAATTTGGGGAATTGTTAAAATGTTAAACCGTTTAGAAATTTATTTTAAATAAAATATATTGTCACTCTGGCTGGGTAGCTCAGTTAGTTAGCGCATCACATAATATGCCAGGGTTGTGGGTTTAATCCTGATCAGGGCACAGAGAAGGATCAACCAATACATGGTTTATGCATGCATAAACCATTTGAACAACGAATCAGTATTTCTCTCTCTCTTTGTTTCTGTCTTCCTCTCTCTCAAATCAGTTTTAATAATTTATTGTCATATTTGAAAATATCTCTAAAATACTCTTAAGAAAAATGACTCGGCCATGGCTAGGTGGCTCAGTTGGTTGGAGCATCATCCCATACGTCTAAAGGTTTGATGACCAGGTTTGATTCCTGGTCAGGGCACATACCTGGACTGTGGGTTCGATCCCCCACTGAGGGTGTACAGAAGACAATCAGTGTTTCTCTCTCTCCTTTCCTCTCTCTCTAAAATCAATACAAACATACCCTTGGGTGAGGATTAAAAAAAAGAAAAAATAAAAGTAACTCAGTTTAATTTTAAATAGGTTTTATATTTTAGGCTCTTGTGGAATACTTTTTTAAACGTAGGTAAGATAAGGGTTTTTATAAATTTTGGAATGTTTATCTAAGAATTTATTTTAAAATGCTAATCTTTTTTTCTCCTATTAGATGTTATCGTTTATGTATGCCCACTTAGCCTTCTTTCATCAAGGATATGATCTATTTAGTGAACTTGGGCCCTACATGAAGGATCTTGGTGCACAGGTATACCTTTTTCTTCTGTGTTATACCCTGATATCTGTATTTTTTTAATTGAGATATAATTAACATATATTACTTTCAGGTATATACTATAATGATTTCACACTCACACACACACACACACACACACACACAAATGATCATGATTAAGTCTAATTAACATCTATCACCTAATATACTTTTAATTTTTTTCCTTGTGATGAGAACTTTTTAGATCTGTTCTCATGTCAGCTTTTAAATATACAATACAGTATTATTAACTATAGTCACCATGCTGTACATTACATCCACAGGACTTACTTATTTTATAACTGAAATTTTGTACCTTTTGACTCCCTTCAGCCCTTTTGCTTTTGCTCTTCATCCCACCTCCCGCCTTTGGCAATCTCCAAACTGTTGTCTGTATCTATGAGTTTGGGTTTTGTTTTGTTTTGTTTTAGATTCTGCATATCAGTGAGAGCTATGGTACTTATCTTTCTCTGACTTACTTCACTTAGAATAAGGTCCTCAAGGCCTACCCATGTCCTAAAAGGCAGGATTTCCCTTTTTTTTAGTGGCTGAATAATATTCCATTATGTATATATGCCACTTTTTTTTTTATCCATTATTCCATCGATGGACACTTGTTTCCATGTCTTAGCTATTGTAAATAATGCTGCAGTGAACATGGGGATGCAGATATCTTTTTGAGTTAGTGTCTTTGATTTCTTTGGATACCTACCTAGCAGTGGAATATCCGCAATATATATAGTAGTTCTTTTTTATTTTATGAGGAACCTTCATACTGTTTTCTGTAGTGGCTGCATCAATTTACATTCTTACCAAGAGTGCCCAAGAGTTCTGTTTTCTCCACATTCTGGCCAACCTTTGTTATCTCTTGTATTTTTTATAGTAGTCATTCTAATAAGCATGAGGAAATTCTCTCATTGTGGTTTTGACATGCATTTCCCTGATGATTAGTGACATTGCATACCTTTCTTTGGCCATCTGAATGTCTTCTGTGGAAAAATGTCTGTTCAGATCCTTTGAATGCTTTAAATCTGTTTGTTGCTGTTGAATTGTATACATTCTTTATATATTTTGGGCATTAACCTCTTATCTGATATAGGATTTGCAAATATTTCCAGCCATTTGAAAAGTTGCCTTTTCATTTTATCGATGGTTTCCTTTGCTATGCAAAAGCTTTTTAGCTTTTTTTTTTTTTAATGTAGCCCCACTTGTTTATTTTTGCTTTCATTGCCTTTGCTCCAATATTTGTATTTTAAAATAAATTTAGCATATTGGGCAAGATGGAGGTGTAGGTAAACATGGCCCACCTCCTTGCACAACCACACTGAAATAACAAATAAACTGTAAAACAACCATCATTCAGAACCATCATTAATAGAGCTGAATGCAAGTCTTACAATTCTGGAATTAAAAAAGAAACTACAGTGTAACTGGTAGGAGGGGCAGAAATGTGAAACAGCCTGGTTCCACACCCGTGTGTCGCAGATAAAAATTGGGAGCAATATCTAAGGAGTAAAGGGTTCCAGCCCTGCATGAGGCCCCTCATCCCAGGGCTCCAGTGCCAGGAAAAGAAGTCACCATAACTTCTGGTTGTAAAAAACAGTGGGGATTAAGGCTGTGGAAGATGGAAACTGGTGGACTCCCTGCCACATTTTTTTCAAGGGCCCATGCACAGACTTCCTCAGACTCTACCTCTGAGCCTCCAGCATGGAGGCAGCAGATTGAAAGGCATCACAGACATATGGGGAACTGGATTGTCCAACACTACTTCAAAAGCTGGGGACGGGGGCAGGTTTCTCCTAGACAGAAGTGCTGGCACAGGCCACTGTTCCTTTTCTGAGCCCTACCCCGACAAAGCCACAGAGTGAGCAGTTGTGTGCCATATCTGAGACTCCATCACCCTGGCTCACACTGTTTGCCCCACCCTGGTGATTTCTACAGGTCCTGCACCACCCAATTTTTTGGCCCACCTAAGCTGTTTCTAGTGGCTTTTCTATTTGAATGGCTTGTCTTGGCCCATGCTTCAGATTTTCCTAAATTCTCAAAAACAAGTAGCATCTGGCTTCAGTGATCTACCTCTTGCTAAGTTACCCGACGCCTGGCCCTAGCAGCAGCTGGCCTTGGTTTACAGCTTGGCCTCGCCTGAGCACCTCCAAGCCCAGCATAAGTAGCTATCAACTGCAGATCACTTTGTAGCTATGCTGTGTGACCCTGGAGAGAACACAGGTGGTGCCTTGGATGTGCCAACAGCAATCAAGGTTCAACTACAAGAGAAAGGTGTACATAGCCCACAAAGTGAGTGAACCTTGAGTACCCAACTTGGGTAATAGGGGAGGCTATGCCACTGGACCCTACAGGACAACCATTAAATTAGGCCACTCTGCCAAGCCTGGGAGACGTAGCAGCTCTACCTAATACATAGAAACAAACATAGGGAGGCTGCCAAAATGAGGAAACAAAAAACACGACCCAAATGAAAAAAACAACAGAACTCTAGAAAAAGAACTAAACAAAATGAGAGATAAGCAAGCTACTTGAGGCAGAGCTCAAAACACTGGTTGGAAGGATGCTCATTGAAGGACGCTCTGTTGAGAACCTCAACAGTATATAAAAGGGCATGGAGTCCATATAAAAAATCCAGTCAGAAATGAAGGATAAACTAATTAAAATAAAGAACAATTTACAGGGAATCAGCAGTAGGAAAAATGAAACTGAGGATCAAATCAGTGATTTGGAGTATAAAGAATCAAAAGAACACCCAATCAAAATAACAAGAAGAGAAAAAGAATCCAAAAAAATGAGCCTAGTTTAAGGAACTTCTGGGACAACCTCAAGTGTACCAACATTTGCATCATGGGGGAGCCAGAAGAAGAGAGAGAGCAAGAAATTGGAAACTTATTTGGAAAAATGACAGAAAACTTCCTAACTTAATGAGGGAAATATACAAGTTCAGGAAGCACACTGAGTCCCAAACAAGGTGAATCCAAAGAGGCCCGCCCCAAGACACTTCATAATTAAAATGCAAAGCTTAAAGACAAAGAGAGAATCTTAAAAGCAGCAAGAGAAAAGCAGTTACCTACATGGGAGCCCCCATAAGACTGTCAGCTGATTTCTCCAAAGAAACTTTGTAGGACCAGAAGGGATTGGCAAGAAACAGTCAAATGGATGAAAAGTGGGACCTGCAACCAAAATTACTCTACTTAGCAAAGCTATCATTTAGAATTGAAGGACAGATAAAGAGCTTCCCAGACCAGAAAAAGGAGTACATCACCACCAAATCAGCATTATATGAAATGTTAATGGGTCTTCTTGATGAAGAAGAAAAAGAGGAAGAGGAGGAAGAAGAGGAGGAGGGGGAGGAAGAGAAGGAAGAAGGAGAAGAACAAGAAAAGGAGGAAGAGGAGGAGGAAGAGGAAGAAGAAAATGTGAACAATAAAATGGAAACATGCATGTCTATCAGTGATAGAATCTAAAAACCAAAATAAGCAAACAGGCAGAACAGAAACAGAATCTTAGATACTGAGAACGTTTTGATGATTGCCAGAAGGGGGTTTGGGGGATGGGCAAAGGAGGTGAAGACATGAAGACATACAAATTGGTAGTTACAGAATAATCATGGGGATGTAAAGTACAGCATCGGAAATATAGTAGCCGAAGAATGCATATGCATGACCCATGGACATGGACAATTGTGTGGAGGTTACCTAAGGGAGTGGGGCAGGAGCTGGGTGGAGGGAGATAAAGAGGGAAAAATTGGAACATCTGCTAATAGCATAATCAATAAAATATAATTAAAAAACGAAAGCATACTGGGGTATTTAATATTTATTTAATGAAGAAGTTTGATGCTACAGCAGATTTACATATGGGTTAAATGTGTAGCCAAAAATGAGATTAAAGTTAAAAGTGTTATAGATAGTATATGAGAGTATTGAAAAGGAGAATTTAAAAACAAAGTGTCTGTTTTACAATATACATAACTTGATTTATTTTTCTTACATTTGGAAAATTGAGTTATTGTCTTAATTGGTTTTTCACTTGAGTTATAGCTCTTTTTGTTTTCAAAAAATTTTGTATTTTGCTATTTTGAATAATAAAATTTTAGAAGCTTAGCATTATAGAACCCCTGTGAACTTTTTCATTATATACAAACATGTACGTGTGTGAATTATACATAATGTAAGAATATTCTATAGAAATTTCATTATGTTCAAATTATTTTTGATATCTGATCAGAACTTTATAGTAGATCTGTTCTGAGACATTCTTTTTTTGTTGATTGGTGAGCTTTCTGAATTGAAGAGTATCAAATTTTAGGTGATTTTCTTTCTCTAATGGTTCAGGTTCAGGTTATTTTTTTGAGGAGAGGGAATTAAGGATGAAAACTAGAGTTTAGGGAAAATGGAAAAAGGTAATAATGAAATGAGAATTGTGTTCACTGACCAAAAATAAATATGTTGCATGCTTTTGTGTATTGGGATGGTGTTAGGGAAGGATGGTATACAGGGCATATTCTATGAATTACAGAGATACTGTGTTCTGCCTCTACAGAACTTAATTTATTAGAAGAAACCAACAAGTTATCAGACTATCATTCTCTGTGCTAAGTACCCTCTCTAAGTATATAACTTGAGATTAGGTTTGTTTGCATGTGATAGAAAACTTAAAATAGTAGTAACTTCAACAAGATAGAATTTTAGTTTTCATATGTAAAGTCAAAGGCCTGGTATGGTGGTTACTTGGTCTGCAGAGGATCCAACTTAATTAATCTTTTGATTCTACCTCATGGTTCAAAGTAGCTGATCAAGACTTTCACCATCACACTTCCTAACAGGAAGAAGGACAGGGAAAAGATGGATTCCCTTTCTTTAGGGGTATTTCCTAGAAATTGTACACTTCTCTGTCACACTAGGTGCAAGGAAAGCTGGGAAAGATAGACTTAATACCAGATAATCATGTGATGTACTAGAATTTGTGGGTTCTGTGATTAAGACATAAAGAGAGAAAGTGGATGTAGGTAGCTGTCTGGCTGTCTCTACCATGTAGTGGAGAGTCAAAGTGTTAAGTGAATACAGGGTGGGGCAAAAGTAGATTTTCAGTTGTGAGTACGTGAGAGTTTATTCTTGTACTATTATTTAATAATTGTCCTATTATTTTCCATATGACCAACTGTAAACTTACTTTTGCTCTACCCTGTGTGTAGATTGGATATCTAACCCAGACTTGGGAGGAAGGTAACACCTAGGCACTGTGTATTCCCCACATCTTATCAAATATTCGAATGTACCCACATCTTAAATTTATCATCATTTATTTTAAAAAATGAGTTGGATTGTAGTTGTCTAGTCAAAATAATTGTTTATTTTAGATATTTATTAATTTCAGTTTTGCTGTCTTCCCCTTCCCAGGCCTCAAATAATTTTGCAGGTACTTGAAAAGCATCTAAGCCCTGGTACCTGTAGTGCCTAGTGGATAATATGGTCTGGATGGAGGTAACCAGTTAGGCTATTTTTTTCAGTAATTCAGTTATGAGATAATGGCATCTGGAACCAGGGTCATGGCAGTAGAGATGGACTCATGGACATGAGGGGTATTTAAGATATAACCAATTTGAGGGTGGTGGGATATGATGAGTTCAGGTTTAAATGTATTGATTTTTGAGGTAGGATATCTAAGTGGATATGCCTAGAGCTCAAGGGAAAGATATAGACTAAAGGAGTCAATAACATATAATTGCTCATTGCAACCACAAGAATGGGTGAATTGACCCAATGAGAGTTAATAGGTATATAGAATCATGTAGCTATTTTCTTTTTAAATGTAAGTGCCCAAACACCATGCCTAAAGATTTTGATTTGATAAGTTAAAGTCAATGTCTACTCGTATAGACTGAAAAGAGAATTTGGTTTGGGACAGGGTCCTGAGAATGACCAGTTTTTAGGAGACTGCTGGGCAAGAGGAGTTCCATGAGAACAAAGTGAAAGAGGAGACAGACAACTGGGAGCCTAGAGGGCTGAAAAAGGAGGGGATGGTTATCAGTACAAATATTGGAGAGAATCAAGTAAACCTAGGACTGAGAACTATCTGTTGGGTTTAGCAGCAAGAAAGATGAGGGTCCTAGCAGCAGAAATTCAAGGTCCTGAATTAGTGCTAAATTACAGTAGGTAGAGATGAAAGTGAAATGGGCAAGCAGAGAACAGGGAAGAATTTTCAAGAAGTGTTGTGAAGGAAAGAGACAGGTGGTGGTAGCTAGAGTGGAATATGGGTTCAAAGAAGGTTTTATTTAAAGTAGTATGATTTGCACAAATTTAAAAGAGCAGAAGGGAATGGCAAAAGTTGAAAAGCAGAAAGAGAAGATGGTAGGAGTGGATGGCATTCAGAACACAAATAGACAATTGGGGTGCCTGTCTAAGTACAGGAACCTGTTAAATTCATAATGTCTAACACTAATAGAAACATGAGATACCACTTGCTATGCTCCACACTTTCTCTTCCTGATATGTTCCCCAGCATGTAAGAGACAAAACTGCTAATCTGCAGTTCCCCAGCTCATACCTCAGCGTTTCTCCAAGCTGCAAAATCTTTCTTTCTTTATACTTTTCCAACAGACTGGAAGAGTAGTTTCCCCCCTTACTGCTGCAATAGCAGTGGGGTGGAATGCAGAATAGGAATTTACTATGAATTTGACAGGCAGAAAACAATCTGTGTGGAAGTATATGCCTTCAAATTTATAAATATTAGGCTGAATCTTAGGGGCTATTTTGTACTGCACTTCAATCTGAATGAATAAATAATATTTATATGCCATTCAATGTAAGGCTATAAAACCATGATCTAAGGATTATTCCAGTTATTCAGCATAAGAAGCTATTGAATTCATTCATTTTCCTAATGTAGCATGTACCAGCATTATTGTTAAGTCCTTGTTACATGTCATTGAGGTATGTATGTATTAGATCCTGAAGTGTGGAGTAGTATAGTTACTGTGTAAACAAAATATTTTATAATAGTGATAGTTCTGTTTCAGTGTGTTTTGGTTCTTTATTACTATTCAGTGATATTAAGAATCTGTGGCCACAATTCTTCTCCTGTAGGAAAAATTTAAAAAGCACAAAGCACATGATTTGTGATAGTGAATAAAGGATCAAAAAGCTTTTTAAGAAGACCCTGTTGTCAATTCAGTTTTTAAAGGATATCAATTAAAACGTTTGTTCACTTAATAATTTATCTTCCATATTCCTATTGATGTTTATATTTTTATTTATTCATTTATCACACATTAATCAGTTAGAGGTGATGGGGATTCAAAGATAAAATAACATCCATCACAGTCTAGAAGAGTAGAACCATGTAACAGTGTATATTATAACCCAATTGTTTGGTATTCCAGCAAAGAAAAGTTGGAGAATTTAGTGTATTTGTCATAATACTGGAAATCAGATACTTCTCTTAATGGAAGATCATCTTTTCTGATAGAAAGGAAGGAGAAAGAAATGAGATTTTATGATTTCCTAAGTTTTTTGAGCTTTAAAAAAACCATTAAAAATTGGTGATTTTACCTCAAATACCACCAATTCGAAAGGATACATGCACCCCTGTTCATAGCAGCATTATTTACAATAGCCAAGAACTGGAAACAGCCAAGTGCTTATCATAGATGAGTGGATAAAAAAGCCATAGTACATTTATATGATGGAATTCTATGCAGCTGTGAAAAAGAAGGAAACCTTACCTTTTGAGACAGTATAGATGGACCTGGAAGTTATTATGCTAAGTGAAATAAACCAGCCAGAAAAAGACAAATACCATATGATCTCTTTTATATGTGGAATTTAATGAACAAAATAAACTGATGAACAAAATAGAAACAGAGGAATGGATACATGGAACAGACTAACAGCTGTCAGAGGGGAGGGAAGATGGGGGCACAGAATGAAAGAGGGTGAAAGGATTAGACAAAAGACATATATGCATGGCCCACAGACACAGACAACAGGGTAGTGATGGCCAGAGGGAAGGGAGAGTAGGGGCTTCAGGAGGGGAGCAAAGGACAACAATAAAAATTATTTTAAAAAAATGTTTTAAGCTGGTGATTTTATACCCTAGTCTTATGGATGACTGCTATTATAATTTTCTTTTTTTGCTTTCTCTTTTATCCATTGAATTATTTTTACACCTTTTGGATTTGATATAACATTAGAAAGCCAGCTTGAAAATAGGAAGTATCTTGAATGATTGGAGGAACTCTTACCACTCTTACTTGGTACTTTTTGCTGTTGCAGGGAAAAAAAAATCACCAGTCTATTTTCTTCCTATCTTTGTAACTATCAGAATTGTTGATTGAGTCAGCAGGCAACTTAAGTTGGAGTCATTTTCCTTATTCAAGGAATGAATGCGTTATCACTGCTGTGGCCTTGACAAGGACTCCTATCACATTTGTGTGAACCATGACTGTTCTCAGAAACATTTTCCCTAAAGAAGCCAACTTAGACCTTTTCAAAGAGGATTTGTTACCAGAAAACAAAACAAAAAAAACTTGCGCTTTAAGTTATAGCCAAAATGCCTTTTTTTAAGTTAGCTTAAATTGACTGACTTTTTGGGACTATGATTTAAAAAAATAAGTATATGTGGTTTTTTTACATCTGTGTAATTTTCTCCTTTTCTCCCTTTCTAGTTGGATCAACTGGTTGTGGATGCGGCAAAAGAAAAAAGAGAGATGGAGCAAAAACATTCCACCATTCAACAAAAGGTGGGAAAAGTTAAAGGAGATTCATTTCCTTTTTACACAGTTGTTTGGTTATCGGATTCAGCAAGATGCCATTGTGTTTAAACAAATACTTTGAAATGCTTTAATAATTAAATTGTGTATGTGAAGTCCTCCTTTTTTGTGAAAAGTGGAATATTTTCAGATGTTTAGGCATTTGGTTTTATTATTCCTTTACATCAAAATATTTGAAAGCCATGCTCATGAACCAGTTTAGAAACATCAGTCTGTTAGGGCCTTAACTAATTTAAAAGTGGCACTTAGTTAGAATTTAAAACATTATTTATGGTTTTAGTTATGCTATTACCGACCCCTGAGAGAGAGAGAGAGAGAGAGAGAGAGTGTGAGAGAGCGAGAGTGAGGGTGCGCGCGCCAGGTTTGGGATAGGGGCTGTGGGCAGGGTACATAGGGGTGGAGAACACCTTAGCATCAATGTGTGTGTTTGGTATTAGGACTTTCCATCTCTAAGCACTGTAAGGTAGCACTCTTCATCTCATGTGATGCTGAAATTTCACTTGCATTTCTTGTTCATTTGCCTATGCCTAAACTGATATATTTGAAATATATGTATTTATTCTCATCCGAGGATATGTTTATTGATTTTAGAGAGAGAGGAAGGGGTGGGGGAGAGAAAGAGAGAACTGTCTATGTGAGAGAGAAACATCAATCACTTGCCTCCTGTATGCTCCCCGACTGGGGATCAAACCTAAAACCTAGCTAGGAATGTGCTCTGATGGGGAGTCAAATCCCATCATATGTTTGAAACATATGAGATGATGTTTCAAACAACTAAGCCACCTGACCAGGGCAAAAATATATATTTAAATGTGAAACCAGTTTTTTTAAATCATGTATAATCAGTGATATTTTTTATGTAGTAATCTGAAAATGAAAGGAAAGAATTAGAAGTTGAATGTAATAATACAAGTATGTGACAAGATGCCTTCTAGTCTGTCACAGCAGTTGCCCTGATTAGTCATTTTCCCAGGGCGAGTTTATCAATTACATGCATGATATGTTGACCTCTGAGATTTCCCCAGATGGTGGTAAACTCAACTGCGTAATTTGTGGTAGTAGGGGACTAAGTTTGTACTTTCCCCTAAAAGGGGGGAAAAAAATAATGCCTTTTAGATTGCTTTTAGAATCTGTTACTTTGGCATTGAGCAATCAGATCAACTTATGTTCTGGTTTATTTAGAATTTAAAATACCTGTGAACTACATCTGACATAGAACATGTCAGTGGAAGAAAATGAAAATGAAATCAATAATAAAAATAAGGAAAATTTTACTGGTGATAGGTTATTAATACTCAAAGAGAAACATACCATACCATCTTTAAATTTGTTACTTCTAGCTATAGTCAAGTAAGACTTACCCCATGTTTTATTTTTGTTCAAGGTTAAATTATTTTTGGTTGGATAACTCGTTTTAATGACATTACCTTGGAAAGATTGTCAAAAATTTGGGATCAGTAATCTCTTCTTAAAGCAAGATCATGGTATTTGTAGAAACATGACTATTTGCTTAAATTATTTTATTAACATTATGCATCTGTTAATGTCTTTCCCTATTATATACACAATTCAAAAATAGTAGATTATTGCATCTAAAATTCATTTATTTGATTTCAGGTAATGCTATTTTTGCTCATTATGTATACTTACCTTTTTTTTCCTGCCCTTAAATGCTGACACAAGGCTGCATTACAGGTAAAAAAAAAAAAAAAAAAGAAGAAGAAGTGGGAATTGGGGATCCAGTCAGCTAAAAATCAAGGGAAAGTATATCTATTTACATTTTTAAGAATTGAAGTTGATCAGTTAAAGAAGTGATGCTATGCATATTCAGTTCCTGTAACTATTTTTCAAGATGTTATACCATTCCCAGCAGGCAGCACCATGTGAGAATTTCCATTGCTTCTTGCCACCTCGTTGTATTACAAGAGTTTTTAATATTTTGCCTATTTTGGTGGGTAAATACTGACATCTTATTATGGTTTTAATGTATGCTTTATTTAGAAATAGCTCAAGTACCTTCTCCTATATATCTTGTCATTTGGGTATCCTGTTTGTGAAATATTTGTTAGTCCTTTTCCTATTTTTCTATTTCGTTGGATGTTAATCAGGTCCTCCATATATTCTGAATGTAAACTCCCTTTTGGGGTATATGTGTTTTTTATTTTCATGGTGGTGTTTTTTTTTTTTTTATTAAGTCTTTTATGGGTTTTTTTGTGTGTGTATCATTTTATGTCTTGTTTAATAAATCCCTCCAAACCCACGATCATGAAGATAGATCTGTGTAATCTTCTAAGTGTTTATAGGTTTGCCTTTTATGTTTCTATCTTGAATCCATCTCTGATTGGGTTTTTGTGTGTGTTGTAAGGTAGAGATTCAATTTCCTTTTATTCTCACATTGGTAGCTAATCAGTTATTTAGAAGTTTGTTTTTTCCCTACTACTCTGTATTTTATCCTCTGTTATAGATCACATTTCCATACATGTGAGGTTGGATTCAGGCTCTTTATTTTGCTTCATTGGTTTTTTTGTCTTTACTGTGCCAATACTATGCTGTCTTAATTATATCTGACAAAGCAAAGCCTTCTACCTTATTCAAAAGTGAATTGCCTAAATTTTGCATTTCCGTATGAGTTTCAGGAGCAGCGTTTCAGGTTGCATAAAAATCACTTTTGGGATTTTGATTGTGATTGCATTGGACCTATGAATCAGTTTGGAGAAGAATTTATGTCTTCATGGCCTTGAAATATTTTTCCATTTATTTAAATTTTCTTTAATGTACTTCATAAAGTTTGATAATTTTCTTATCTTTTGTTATATTTATTCCTAGACACTTGTAAATGTTACCTTTAAATTTTTTTCACAGCTTACCTTTGTCATATGTTAAAATAAAATTAACCTTTCTGTGTTTTATAACCAGTAGTCTTGTTGCACTCTTTTTAACACTAATTTGTCTCTGGCTTCTTTGTGTACATCTTTGGATGTTCTGTGTACAAAGTCATATCATCTGCAAATAATGATAGTCATTTTTCTTCCTTTCCAGTCCTTTGCATTTTGTTTGTTATCTCGCTGGTTTGGACTTCCAACATAATCTTGAATCAAAGTGGTAATAATTGTCCTTCTTGTCTTACTTGCAATTTCAAAAGGGAAAGTTTCTATTAGATTCCCATTTTTGGCCAACTGTACGCGTGCCTTCTGTTCCCTGGACCCCACACCAAAGCTTCATGTTCCTCTGATAAGTCAGATGCCTTTAAGGTGAAAGCTAGCTTCCTTGCTGTGCTACCTTTATAGCTTCCAATTTTCACTTAATCTTTTGCTTTTGAGTATCCCTTTCTAATTTGCCAGCTTGTCAATATATTTAAATTCTAATATTATATATTTTATCCAGCATTATTAATTGCTTTCATTGTAAAGTCATATAATCTGTCACATTTTAAATACTATAAAATCTTAATTTGATATTAGTAGTAATTAAATTGAAGACAGTTTATCTCAAGAAATATAGTTGAAAATTAGAAAAATACTTACAAATGCTCTACCTTTTCAGTGAAGTCTTAATTTGATGTTTTAAGTAGCATCAGGGTTATTTAAAAAAAGCTGCTGATGTTATAAATGAAACCTTTAGAATGTTGCCAAACTCAATTGTATCTATTGCTGACTTAATCCTGCCTGCATAATTAAATAAATTAAAGCCTCAAATAAATTTTCGTGAGGGGATTAAAGTTTCTCTTTTTTTTCCCCGAAAGAAAAAGTAGGAAGAAATGTAACAATTCATTTACAGATTGTGTTTTATTTGGTTATTTCGGATTATCATGACCTATGGTTAAACTTTGGAACATGTCAGGGAAGTTTTTGTTTGTAATTCTGACTTTAGTCTGTATCCTTCTTCCATCTTCATAGATTCAGATTTGGAAGTCCCTTAGGTGATTCTCACTCTGCCACACCCTCAGTGCAGTGCCTCCATGTCCAGCCGTCTTGGCAGTGGTCATTCAGCCTGTGTAAAAATCTTCCTCAAGACAGAAATTTTACACCCTAATAGATCACATTTTAATTTTGATCATTGTTTCAGAGTAATTTTGGAATTTCTGAGACTGATTCTTTATAAAGTTTTAAATTTGAGGATAACAGCAGTCTTGCAATTTTACTAGACTACTTTGAAAATTCAGGAAATATTTTAAAAATAGAACTACTGAATTCAAAATTTCATGAATCCTTGGATTAAAATTGAGTGTGAATTTCATTCAAGTGATAATTAGAATGATTAGAATGATAGAAGAAGCTTATGAATGATTCTACAGTCCTCATAAAAAAAGTGAGCTTAACATGCCCACTTTCAGACTGTGCTTCTCCTTTGCAACACTGAATTTCATTTTAGAAAAAAATGACTATTTTATTTCAGTACTTCCAAATAGCGGAGTTACTACTCCTCTCAGATTAAAAAAGTACCGTAATAGTTACATACTTAGATATACTGGTAACACTACTTAAAAAATCCAAATTCCTTTTTTTAGTTGTTTATCACACACATCACCATAAAATATTAGAAAAAAATGAAAACGTTTTAAACACCCTGTATAATACTTAGTTGTTCTTTTTGTCTACTTGTATACATATTATTTTGTACTTTTAATCATAGTACATATACAATTTATATATTTCTTCTTTTTTAGAGTATATTCCAATAATCATCTGTGTTTTTATATTACTGCACAATAGTCCACTGAGTTGAAATGCTTTAATACGTTGAAACATTCTTCTATTATTGAACATTTAAGTCTCCCTCCTTCTTAGAATATTGTTGATGTAACCATCTTAATGCAAAATTTTTCTACCATTCAAGCTGTTTTTCTAGGATAAATCTGTTGTCTGAGCAACTTAGTCAAGTTACATGAATTTTCCTATGTGTTATTTTGTCTAGGATTTCTCCAGTGATGATTCTAAGTTAGAATATAATGTAGATGCTGCAAATGGCATTGTAATGGAAGGATATCTGTTCAAACGAGCCAGCAACGCCTTCAAAACTTGGAACAGGTAATACATTTCATATCAGTATTTTCAGGTTTTCTGACTTTTCCTGGGATTTGTCAGCTCTTTCCTTCATAGTTCTCTAAATTTACAGTCCAGAGTAATTTTCCTGAACCCAGTGCATTGAATATAAGATACCCTTCTAAGATAGGAGACCCTGAAAAGCAAGTAAAAAATGACACTAATTCTAAATTCTAAAATTTAAGCAAAGTTTAAACCAGGAAGCAAGGAGAATTTTTATAGTAATTGGTCTATACTGACTAGACCATTATAATAAATAAATTTTGAATTTGAGCTACTTTTCATGTGTTAGGAAGTAGATCTGATTACAAATTGTGTGTTGAATATAATGGGTAAATAAGCCAAGCGAACCCTCCCCCCCTTGCATTCCTGTCCTATATGATGTTTATGTACATCTTTACTCAGTGTTTGTTTATGAATTTTAAGCCAGGTGATTCTGATCTTTGCAATAATTTTTATTAACCAGGAGTTTTAGGAAATGGGTTTGTTCTTATGTGAAGTGTGTGTGCGACAGCTGGTACTCCTTTATTCTAAACTTGATAGTTACCAAAACTCTGAATTTTTTTGATGAAGTGATTTTAATTCAGTAAATTCTGTTAAATGAATGAGTGTATAAAATATTTTATTGTGTTTTCCCATGTATTAACATATTAAAGGGTTGTCTCAGGATCATCCTTCTGAATAGAAGTGATTGGTCTTTGATTCAAGGATCCTAACTTTTTGCAAAAAGAAAAAATAAGTAGACCCCTAATTGATGTGGCTCAGTTGGTTGTCATCTCACAAAATGAAATGTCAGGTTTGGTCCCCAGTCAGGGTGCATGCGAGAAGCAACCAATCAATGTTTCTTTTTCACACTGGTATTTCTCACTGCCCGCCCCCCGCCCGCGTCCCTGTTGTCCCTCCCTTCCCCCCTCTCTAGCTATAAATATAAATAAATAAATAAAATTTTTAAAAAGTAGAACAATTTTGTAATAATTGAGAGTAATATTGGGTTCTAGTTAATTGATTTTCTCTTATATTATTGGTTGGCTATTTTATTTGCTACTTGAACAATATATGTATTCACTCAAAGGCAGAGAAGGTTTTCTTTTTTTAAAATGTACATTAGCAAAATAATTAGAATTTTCTTGGTAAGTTCAGTATGTATTTTTTGTTTAAATGGAAACAATCATGCTTAAATATTTAATATATTTAGATGGATTGGTAGTGTACTTTGATTTCTTGGCGATGAGGTTATATAGAAAAAACACTCAAATTTAAGCATTTCCCTAGAATCTGGTATTACCAAATATTTAAATGATACATAGTATGTTTTATTTGAAATAACTTTTCTTTACCTGAGAATGAACATAAACTGGAAAGAATAGTGATTGTACATGATATTAAGCCTGAGTTATGTAAAACTTTAAAAGTAATATATGTATATAGAAGGACCAGCTAACATGGTCTGGTTAGAAATAATGTTACTAGCTATTGTAAAGTGAAAATGAAAAATTAAAACTCTGTTTTCTAAGCTGTATAAAGTAAAACAATAATCATCTAGCCTTCCCTGGCAAATTTCCATAGCCAGAATAGGAAGTGAAAATACAAAATAGTGTGATTATCAAATTTTTATAATAAAGATATCTCAATCAATACAGTTTCCTGAGGTAATGTTTGAATTTTTGACCTTCAGATTTCACAACCTGCTTAGAGTTTAACACAGTGAAAATACAATAAACCCATGGAAACTATACTGTTACGTTAAGAAGAAAGAAATTAACTTTCATGGAACACTCCAGTGAGAAATGATCTCAGACTTGAGTAAAGCACAGTGTTAGTGGAAAATTGCATTACCAATTAGGACAATAGAAAAAAATGAATTCTGATTTAAGCATGGGCCTTTTTATTTACTTGTTTCATGAATTTTGTTAATTAGCATAGATATTAAAATGTAACTAAAATGAAGTTGGAAGTAATTATTAAATTCTCTATTGTAGACATATTACCTTCCACTTGCAAAGCAGAAAAGATAAGTACCTTCAGAAATGAGGCTGCTTTACAAATGGTATGCCATCTATATGTAATGGGATGACATTTGTTGATTCAAATGGTAGATTGTAGTTCAACACCCTAATTGTTAGTAAAGAAATGGAGATGCTGAGAGATGGTTGTTCATTAAAGGTCACACAGCTGAGTTGTGACAAAATTGAGGCCCAAAATCTACCATGTTTTAAAACTTGATATGGAAATTCCAAGCAATCTATATTTTGATTAAATAAGATACTTCAGCTATTAAAAAATATTTTAGAAACTATTTTTAAAAACCTTCCTAGTCCATTTTTGCATTATTAGGAAATACTATGGATAGAAAATTAATTTCATTTTCATGTACTTTTAAAGAACATTTTGATGAAAACACTGGTAAAAAGCAGATTTGTAGGAATAGAACATATAGACATTATTTAAAACTCTTTCACAAACACAAAAGCTAAAGTTAAATTTTGTAATAGAAGTCTTAAATATTTTCTAGGTTATAGGCCAATAACTATAAAAGGGAAAGGAAAGAGAAAAGTAATCTATTAAATATTATTTAGAATTTTCTTTACTTTTTAATCTTAAAATTTTGGAATGTATCTAAATTTCTTATATAAAGTTTATTAAAAAAACCCGAATCTCTGGAAATACTTGCAAATAATTTTTATTTACCTATATATGGCTGTAGTGTCTGACCTATTTCTCCAATTAGTTCTCGATCCCATTTGATTTAACGTAGTCTACTAGCTTCTGAATAAAAGACTGTGTATTTATATTTGTGCCTTAACTTTAAAAATCCAAGTCCTGCTATTAAACAAAGATTTCTTTTGCCTACTGTTTAAGTTTTATTTTGTTTTGTGTTTAGATTGTTTGTGCATTAGTTTTAGAGGAACATTTTTTGTCATAATCACCACAGGTACCAATCATATGATGACAAATTTGCCATTATTTATAGTTTTATAGAATAGTGGCATATAATATTTTCAAAATCAACTTTTTCAAAAGACCTTCCTGAGGGAAATATGAATTTGACAGATTTAAAACCTGACCTTGTGTTTCATAAAATCCTTCTTGAAAGCATTATTCTATAACCTGAAATTTAACTGAAGAGATCATATTTTGTGTGACGTGGTTAAGTAGCATAAGGAGTGAAATGTTTTATATCTCATGAATTGTTTAGCTTGTTTCTGATTGGTTATAGATTTCTGGTTCTTGGTGTCTCCTAAGATTTTTATATGGCTGTAGTATATATACTTTCTGAAGACATGTGAGATCTACCAAAATAATATTTCTGTATCAGGCCATTTTCTCATTGTGGCAGCTTTACTTCAGGCTCAAATCAGTGCTAGATGGATTACTAGTACCTATATTTCTCTTTAACTTTTCATGATAAATTCAGAAAGGATGAATAAACAAGGAAAATAATTACATATTAACATTTTTAGTCATAAGCTGGTAAAACTAATAAAGCTGAATAATTACGTGCTATGCTCAGTCTTTGTAACTAGATAATAAAGCCAAAAGCATAAAATGTATTATATAATTTCTGAAAGCAAAGTATTGTATATGCTGCTATAGATATAAATGTTTAGTTTTGACTTTTTTAAAAATAAGAAATGTATACATGGATTAAAGATGAACTCTACTTATGTGTAGCCTTAGAGTCTCTGCTATCATTTAATGAAAATGGGGTGAGCACAAAGGTAGGTTTATTTGGCTGATATTTTATAATCACTGAAATTCTTAATTAGTGATTCCACTTATGAAAAATTTTTATTTGTCTCAGGTTTACATAGATACATCTGTAGTGATATATAAGGAACAGATTATTAAGATGAAGAAAGTACTATATCTATATTTAATAGCTATGGTGATAGAGGCCTAAAATAATAGTAGAGGTATGCCCAAGTATGCTAAGTCCTACTGGAACACTCTATACCATAATACTTGAACTAAATTTTTGAATATTTCAGAAATATTATTGTTTCAGATTCCTAAGAGTTGGAATTAATTGTTCATGTGTATGTATGTATAATATGTGAAAATAATGCAACAGATATTTTTTATTATTTTTTTAGGTTAAAAGCTTAAGCTTGTTCCTTTAATTCTTGCTTTATTTTCATATCATGCTAGTCCTTGCTTATTTTGCACATTTGCGTTTTCATTCTTTTACCACCTTTCCCTTATGTTTTAATCCTGCCCCATTTTTTCACATGACAGGAAAAAGCCCGATCATATCAGGTACCAAATGGCTTTCTTCCCCTCACCCCCCACCTTACTCCAATTTCCTCTTTGGCACGAAAAAGCTCATAATTAACCTGCACTTCATTTGGATTACTTGCAATGGATATAAAGTCTCTTATGTTTTAAATTGGAGGAAAGATGTCAACATCTTTTCTGAGGAACAAAATTATATTTTTTCATTGCCCATCTCAATTTATTTTAATCTGGAAAGGAACATTTGATATGTTTTAGTTACTCAAAGAATATTATACATGAGTAATATGATACCTTTATTTTTTTAAGGGAAATAAGCTAGTAAAAGCTTTTCAAAAATGTAAACAGTAACTAGGAATTAGTCTCCTTGGTAATAACTGTATTGGTTATGTTGAAAGGGAAACATTGTCAGTTCCTAGATTTTTTTGGTTGTTTTGTTTACCATTTTGGTCTTTTTCTCTTGAAAAATAAAATAAAATTTGAAATAAAGGAGCATTAAATGTTCAGACCTCTAATTTTGTTTAATATTTGCCTATTTTGCACCTATATAAATGTGTGCATGAATCCATTATCTGTATAATTTTAGTGAAAAAGTCTTTACCAATTTAGAAGCTTGACTTTTACCCATGTGCTTAATTTCAAGTATAGTTCTTAGACTAGTGATCTAACAGGGTAAAAACTAATTGATTTATTTTTTTAAATATATTTCTCTTTCCCCCAAGTTTGTCATCTGAAAAGCTTTCCTTGATATTTACAATTTAATAATATTTAATTGTTTATTAATATAATATTTTAGTCACAAATCTTCATTATATTGAGCTACTTCAGTTTGAGATATAAAGTCGTGTCTTATTTTCCTTAATGAACTGAGAAATTTTCCTTTTCAAAACACTGTCTTATATAAGTTTTGGCTTTGTGACAGCTTCTGAATCTTGTAGAATATGCTGTAGTTGTAAGTACAGTGCTTTCCAAAATTTGTCGTTTTTATTGTTTAATTGCCTTCTTTAAGTATCTTCAAATTGCAGGTCACATGAACTTAAAATATTAAGTATTTTTTTGTGTTCCATAGGAATATATAAACTGTCTCATTTTTCCTTTTAATAAAAATATTAATAACTAGGATTACTCTGTAGAGCAGTTAAAAATTATATTCCATTTTACTTACCTGATTAAAATCTTGATCAATGCAAATGAGTATAGTTAGCTCTTTCATTTTTTTTTTAATGGCAGAGGAGGGGAGTTAGTGTCATAAGATACACAGATTATAGTAATTGAAAAATTTTTTTCTACCTAGGAACATTATGGTTTTATTTCGTAGGAGGAATTGCCAGATTAAGATAGCTTTATGGTGTCTTCCTAGAGCATACAAAAACTCATGATATGAGAAAGTCACCAGAAACAGAGAGACAGTAGAGGAACTAGGTTTCAAAAATTTGTATGATCTGTAAAATTAATAATCAGAAAATGATCTCTGACAAAAAAAAAGTGTTTTTAATTTAATATCTTGTTATTTGTTTTAGAGGTTTTGATCCTAAGATGCAGCAGGTCAAAATAAATTTATTTTTTGAAGACCCCAGAAGAATGAAAAGCTTACATGGTTGTATGGGTGTTTTTCTATTGTGCAGTAAAACTCTGTGTAGTTTTTCATCAACTTAGATAATATGATTACTATAAAACATAAGGATTTTTATTAATATAGTTCATCCTACCTCAAATGCTTTTTTAAAAAACACTTCAATCAATATCAGAGATTGTTTCCATTGCATGTCATCCTCTGTGGCAGGGCTGCACCTTTTTGTTTGTTTGTAGGTATTTCCTTTAACATTTCTAACCAGCTATGTGTCCCAAAGCACAGAAACCCAGAAGTTCTTCCTTTTCTAGCCTGCCTCCTGATGATTTGCATTTAGAGGCAACCTACTTAGTTTTATCTAGATGCTAATTTAACAAATCTCTATTTTAATGGTAAAAGTTATACCTTTTTTTAAAGTAGCAAGAAAACCTAATAATCTGTCTAGCTTAAAAATAGAAAAGTGTCTAATCATTTCCTCATCTTTGGAGAATTAACTTACCAGTAACTTTTAAAAATAGAAATTATAAATATGTCTATATACAATTTCTAGTGCTTTTGATTAGTATCAATGAAAAGGTGGAATCTCTATCTGCTAATAGATTAATAACTAATGTTTACAATAGAAATCATCTCACATGTAACTAATTTTAAAATAATGACTCATTTTGTTTTACTTTTCATGCTTGATGAGAATTTTTGCTTTTATGAATGGCTTTTGGCTGGGTTTTTTTTCTTTCCTTTTTTTTTTTTTTTTTTTTGGTAAGTCTTTAGGTCCTTTTACTGTTTTAGTATAATTAGAAGTAGTAAATTTGTCATTAAGTAGCTTAGATTTTTCATTAAAAGAAGATTGCAAGTAAACTGTTTGCCTAATAATTTACAGTAATGAGCAGGACAATATAAATAGTTGGATGACTCATTTTTAATAAGTTTGATTATTCAGCTTATATGATTATATGAAAGTAAGGCCAAATGAATTGGTAATTGTCTCCTGTTTGATAGCAGTTGTAAAACGATGATTTAATTTTGTTTTGCTTAACAAATAAAACACTTGCTGAATTAGCTCCAGAAAGGTTGAAAACAAAGCATCATTTATTTCGATGTTTTACTGTATACAGATGGGTGGCATTACTTACAGTATAAATTTATTTCTACTTTATAATGAAAGCAATTATTTTAGGAGAAAGATTCTGTTATTTTTGAGAAACATAAAAGAAATAAATTTTTTAAAACATTGTTTGGTGATACCATAAAAAGATAGTTTTTGTTAGGATTCAAATTTCTAAATATTAATCAAAACATAGTTTTACTTTCCTAATCTGTGTTTTTAAAATTGTTTAAAGTTGTTTTTTACTTGCAGTAATTTCATTGGCATCAGTTTATATAAAGCAAAACAATATACTTCTCAACATGTGCTTACCGTAAACTGATTTTCTAGTACTTCCCAAAATATTTCATTCCTAACAACAACTGAACTAAATTGTGTTTGTGAAAATGTAATCTATTTTGTATTTATTTAGACGCTGGTTTTCAATACAGAACAATCAGTTGGTTTACCAGAAAAAGTTTAAGGTATGTCTTTTGTTAAGTGATTAAGTGAAAAGTCTTCAGTGAGTCCCCAGTTTGGGTTCTTTATCTGTTTGTCTTGGGAAAGCATTGAAGTCCATAAATACTCATGTGTATGAAATTACTGTTTACTAGCTTTATGTTTGGGTGTGTATAAGCGCATTCGGAAGGGGAAAATATCAGCATTTGATACTTAAATTCAGAGTGATTTTGAAATCCTAATTCTTAATTCTTAGCTTTGAGATGGACTTTTTTCCTGTCCCAGGATTATTACTTTTTTTCTTCTTATGCTTCTTTGTCTCTTTGTGTGACAGGAATAATAGAACCGTTTCACAGTATTTTTTTTTTTTTTGACATTTTAGAAAAGGATGCCTTTTAAGAAGTATCACCTCATGGGCACAGGTGATAATATAGAAAAGTTAGAAATGACATTAACATGTAACCTTGAAGTAATTTAAATAAAACCTTCTAAATTCGTTAATACTGTTTTTATAGATTCATTTTTCTGAACCTTAAGGGTGAGGAATTTTTATTTTTTGGAAAGGCATACTGAAATCACATGTGATGTTGAGAATGTGGCAACTCACTTCCCTCCCAAGTAAAGTCCAAATGTGCTGTCTTTACATCTTTGAACATTTCCCTCTGAAGGTACTGACCCTTGTCCCTCCCCAGTGTACCTAGACTTCTCTGCCCTCTCTCTCCTGTCACCAGCCTTGTTGGTGTTTACTCAGAAGACTGCAGTCTTCTGAGGTGCCCAGTGGCCCAGGAGAGACCATGGGAGGTTTGCTTTATGTTTAAGGAGGACATTGAAATGGTCTGTAGACACCATGCAAAGCATTGAAGATTTTGTTTCCTTCACATGAACCTTTGTAATCCTTCAAATAGTTGATGTTGATGCTCCCAGCTTTTTTCTTTTTTTCTTTTTCTTTTTATTCTGAATGTACTGGTAACCTGTGGTATATTTTTTTCTATTTCCTTGTGACCATTCTTTTTTTCCTTTCCTCCCTTTCCCTTATTATCCCTGTCTCTTCCCACCATGCACAGATAAATTTAATCTATAAACTTCTTAATCTGATACACAGAGTATGTATGGTGGCTTGATTTTTACCTAGTTAGCCTTTATTAATGATATATTCAGCTGTAAATTTGAAATAATCACCTTTACTCTTGAGGTGACACAGTCCAAAGTTTTACTTGTTTGGTTCTGTGATTGCAGATTTTCTCCCACACTAACCGTTTATTCTAACAATTTAGTCCATGCTTTTTTAAGTACTAGAAAATGATAAAAACCTTTTTCATTTTCTTAGGCATTTTTAGAAGGATATATAGCCTTTTTTTTCAGTTATGTAAAACTTGACTCATTAAAGGCTTCTTTTTTGGAGGAAAGTAGTTTTTATTGTATGTGAGTAAAGCCCAGAAGTGTAATGTATGTGGAAGAAAATTAACAGGAGACTAACTTTTATTGAGCACCTGCTAATTAATTACCAAGTGTTGGACTAGGCTTCAGCTATTTCATTTCATTCTTATACAGCAATTTTATGAGGCAGGTAAAAGTATTAACAGGGCAGAATTACCTTTATTTGTTATATCTATGTAGATAACTCCTGTCTCTAATCTAAAATAAAAAATATATAAATCTTTAAAATTAGACCATTTATTCCAAAATATTTTTAAGTATTATTGGTAGTAGTATTTAAAACCTAGATTGGTAAATATGGGAGTTCTGTTTCCTTATTGTAGGATAATCCTACTGTGGTAGTGGAAGATCTAAGGCTCTGCACAGTGAAACATTGTGAAGACATAGAACGGAGATTCTGCTTTGAGGTGGTCTCCCCGACAAAGTGAGTGGTTCTAAAGAATTTGAGAGTTGCTATTATGTTTCTATAGTTTGTCTTAAAGAACTTTCCAGAGTAGAGAAATATTTGGGTTTCACTTGTGATGCTGTGTACTAAAGAGAAAAAAAGTGTTTAAAAGTAAATTTTATTAATTAGTGATTACAGGTATTATAGTCAGAAATTTCTGAAACTTCTTTCCAGTATCATATGTTCTTTAAATTCCATAAAGATTATTGATGAAAACTTTGTAGCTGTCATGGATGACGAACTGAACTCATACCAGATTAATTTTTTGATAACTATCATTTTATATTCAATAGAAAAATGTAATATTTATATGGTAAATTTAAAGTTTGGGTTTTTTTAATGTGCAGGAGTGGGTGATTTCTTTCCAGTAGGTAACTTATTTCGTTAATACCTTGATTGCTTAATGAACATACTCTGTCCTAAAGACAGATGAAAGCCTTTCAACAGATATGATTATTTTTGTTAAAAAATTACTAAGTAGCAAAGTGAGCAAAAAAATATAAACATTATTATTGTTGTTGTTATTATAATGGGGGGGTTAATTTGGTGACTAAGAAAACAATGTTATTTCCTTTTAGAAGTTGCATGCTTCAGGCAGATTCTGAAAAATTGCGCCAGGCATGGATTAAGGCTGTTCAGACCAGTATTGCTACTGCTTATAGAGAGAAGGGTGATGAATCGGAGGTTAGTAAACAATACTGCAATACCAGATGTTATATTGCCAAAAGTTTTTTATTTTAGTTGCAATGTTGTGTAATTATAACATTCTTTAAATTTTTTTAAATTGATGTATAATTGACAGGTGACCTTATATTAGTTTTAGGTGTACAACATAATGATTCAATATTTGTATATACCACAAAATGATCACCACAGTACATCTAGGTACCATGTGTCACCCTACATAGGAACAAAAAAATTTTTCTTGTTCTCACAAGATATTTTAAGTTTATTCTCTTAGCAACTTTCAAATATACTATATAGAATTATTAACTATAGTTAACACACTATACATTTTATTCATGGCATTTAATTTATAACTAGGTGTTTGTATCTTTTTTTGTTTTTAGATTTTATTTATTTATTTTAAGAGAGACGGGAAGGGTGAGAGAAAGAGAGAGAAGCATCAATGTATGATTGCCTCTCACACCCCCCAGCTGGGAACTTGGCCAGCAACCCAGGCATATGCCCTGACTGGGAATTGAACCAGCAACCCTTTGGTTTGCAGGGCAGCACTCAATCCACTGAGCCACAACCAGCCAGGGTGGCATTTGTATCTTTCGACCCTCTTCACCCATACCATTTTTTTAAAATGGAGAATAATTTTTTCTGAATTGAAATGGATTTTATTTTTAAAGTCTAGGTTCAACTTCTCTTTTGTTTACTTCACTTTACCTATCATATTACTTTAATATTTCAATATACGGGGTCTGTCCAGAAGGTATCGAGCCATGCAATATGAAAAATAGAGACATTTGTTGAAGAAGATACAGAATACAAGAAACATTGACATAGGACAATGACATCTCAGTCCCCTTCAAAAGAGGCACCTTGGGACCTCACACAGTTCTCCCAGTCATCATCAGCTGTCCCATCGTATTTTCCTGAATCTCATTGACCATGTGAAATCTCTTCCCTTTCAAAGGTGATTTTAGTTTTGGGAAAACCCAGAAGTTGCAGGGCACCAAATCTGGGCTATAAGGGAGCTGAGTCACATGGGTGATTTGATGTCTTGCCAAACAACTGTACACAAGATGTGATGGATGAGCAGGCATGCTGTCGTGAAGAAGCTGCCAATTACCAGGTGTCCACAGCTGCAGCCTTCTGAATCATCTGAATAGTTTCCACAGAGGACTGTTCAAGCTTAATGAAAAATCTGACGCAGATTTGTTGCTTTACTCACTCAGTCATTTTTAATGCAATGGCCACACAGTACACATTCTCACTCAGCAGCATCTGTTGCCCCCACTGACTAGTACAGTGAAGTTGTCATTGTTTATGCATGTACATTCCAGTCCACTCTCCTTGGCTGTCAGGTTACATTGATACCGCGCAAACTGTTCTTGTTACATTAACAATCGCAGGACTTTCTCGAGACAGACCTTGTATTTACCCATTTTTCAGCTCCTAAAATTTTGTTGCTTTTATTTTCTTTCCTGTTATCCCTGTTCTTGTGGGTAAATCTCTTTTTTTATGAAAAAAATACTCAAGTTTTAAAAAGTAGATTACAGATATCATGTCCTTCCACACCTAATAGTAATTTTTTTAATATCATCTATCACCCAATCTATATTTGGATGCTCCCAGTTGTCTTAAAAATGTCTTTGACAGTCTGTTGTAAAAGTAGGATCTTATCTATGACTGCATTGCATCTGGTTATGTCCCTCATATCTTTAGAACATACCCTTTTTTACAAGATAATTATTTACTAAAAAAATCAGGTTAGTTTTCTGTAGAATTCCATCTCATAAGATCACATTGTAGGTGATATACATGCTTCATGTTGTAACAGGAGACAAATGTTTGGTTATCCAACCATTAGGAATGCTGAGATCTGACCTCTGCTGTGAAGATGAAGTGGATACATTGGATTAGGGAAATGACAATATCAATCCCTCCATTGTAAAGTTATATTTTCTCCCTTGTTCCCAGTCTATTTTGTTACTTTGTATAACACATCTACTTGTATTACTTTTACTGCCACGCCCCACCCAAGATCTACTACCCCATCAACTATTCATCTAATGGTTTTACAACTGAGTTTGTTATTTCATTAGGAGTTGCAAAATGATGATTTTCTAATTCTGTCACCTCATCTACATTTATTAACTTGCATTCTTATGTGAAATACACCTTTTTTTCATCACCTGGAGCAATTCAATTACTATAATTAAATGCTTAATCTTTTGCTTTTAATTACCACATTTGCTTAATTTTTAGCTACTTAAGTGGCAACAGTTATCTAGTTTTGGGGGAGCTAGAAACATGAATTTTTGTAAATACAGTGGGTCCCAGTTACTTGCAATGATTACTCTTTTTGGTGATCAAAATAACACCTTTTTGTTCAATAAAGACCCTAGGTAGTGCCTTTTGAAAAGTGCTCTATTTTTTAGCAGAATTTTGAGAGGAAATAAAATTAGGGATGCATCCACATCATCTTGAAGAAGTTGGTGGCATTGCTGAAATAACTGGGTTATGCAGAATAGTATACTAGAAATAGTAGGGATTGTGGGACAAATAGGGATAGAGCTAATTTAAAAACCTGTGTAAGCTTGTACCTAGAATACTCTCACATACTTTAGAGTCTCAGTAAAAATACTAGCACAGTTAAATTCATAATAAGTAAATACTACGGTATAGATAGGACTTAACTTTTTAAAAATTGGTGAAGATAGCTTAACGGGAGGGTACAGAAGTGTTGAGAGTATTCAGTTATTGTGACAAAGGCAAATTCCATCATGCAATAAACCTTTCAAGTCAGAGCACATGGCTAAAGGCATTGCCTATTACTAAAGGGCTTTTATTGAACAAAAAGATGTGATGATTTTGATCATCAGAAAGAAGAATGGGGGTGATGGGTGTCATGTCCAGGCCTGTGTTTCTTGAGGTGGCTTGCCCAACATCTGCTGTATTAGTGCACTTTGCTTTCAGCTTCTCTAATTTGGTGCAAAAGCATTAGCTTATAGAGTAAACTTAAAAATAAACCAAATGATTGCTTCATTATATTAAGAGCCTTTCCCTGTATGATAATTGCTTATGAGTTAATTCACATTATCGAACATGTTCTAGTAAAAGATTTTCTTTTTTAAAAATTTGAAATAACCTCAAACTTACAGTGAAGTTCCAAGTGTGGTACAAATAACCTTTTCCCCTGAACCATTTGAGCGTACCTAAGTTGCTAACATGATGGTCTGTCACCCACTAGTTCTCTAGTATCAATACTTCCCACAGCATAGGACATTCTCCTATATGGTCATGGTATAGCCATCAAAGTCAAGAAATGAGCATTGATACATTACAGCCATTTGATTCCCAAATATCATTAAGTTTTAACAGTTTTCCCAGTAATGTTCTTTATGGCAAAAAGATCCAGTCCAGAAACACAGGTAGCATTTAGTTGCCATGACTTTTCAGTTTCTGTTAGTCTTACTTTGACCTTCTTGACCTTGACAGTTTTTAAGATTGTAGACTAGTTATTTTGTAGCATGTCCCTCAGTATGGGTTAATTTGATGTTTACTCACAAGGCTATGCATCTTTGGCATGAATATTATATAAACATCTCTCTCTTCTTCTCACTGCATCCTCTAAGGTGGCCTTTGATTTTGATTTGTCCCATTATTGGTGATATTACTTGGATATCTTGATTAAGGTGGTGTCTGCTAGACTTCTTTACTGTAAAGTTTCCTTTATAGGTAGTAAATATTTTCTGGGGGAGGTACTTTGAGACTATGTGAATATTGTTTCTTATCAAGCTTTAATTTTTTTATTATGTCAGTATACACCCCTATTTTATTCATTGTGTTAAAATCCATTACTAATATTATTTGTTTTGTTCCTCAGATCAACCCAAGTTTAGCCAATAGAGAGCCCTGGCTTCTGTGTTCTTTCAACATGGTCCCATCAGTCTTTGAGTTCTTCCTTATTTTGTAGCATGATGAGATGTTTCAGGGTCATTTTGTACTTTCTCTGCACCAGTTCTGAAATCGGCAGTTTTCAACTATGTGTGTGTGTGTGTGTGTGTGTGTGTGTGTGTATGATACAGATGTGTACACATTTACATCTGTATTTCTTTATATATCTATTTATATTGAAAACCATTAGTGTGCCTATTGGTATCTCCAATTTTAATCTGGTACAAAAGAGTTTATTCTAATTCTCTGGTTTTCTTATGAGTAACTTCTTTCTCAGCAGTGAGAAATCTGGCTCCCATTAATTTTAACCTGTTTATTTGTATGATCAGTTCCTCTTGTATATAACCAATGTCCTTTCTCTGCTACCAAGCTGCCACCTCACCCCACTCTGGCTATGGCACCTCACACTGTGGCACTCCTGCTCCACACACCCTTTCTTCCTCAGGCTCTTACTTCCTTTGCTGGGCTGCTGCCCTATGCAGGTACCCTCCTTATCCTGCTAGGAATCCAACAAACTGCATGGTGTCACTTTCATTTGAAGATACGCTCCTCACCCAGCCCAGTTCTTTCTAGAATTCCATATCCCCACACTTTTTTTTTTTTTTTTTTTTTTTTTTTTTTGGCTTGGCCCACCTAATGGCTATTGAATTGACTTTTCCGGAAGGTCAAGGCAAGGGCCAAATTATACTTCTAATTATTCTATACTAAAATACTGGCTTATTGGAATGTTTTTAAACTCAAACACTTTTTCAACCATATCTTTAATTACTTAGAATCCCCAAACTACATCTTTGTGTTTAGTTATTGGTATAGACTTTGCTGTGAACTTAAAAAAATTAGATTTTTGTTTATGCCACCTTTTGCTTTTCCTAGTAACCTATGACATTTTTAGCTACTGAGTATTCTAATTGTTGATTCACTCTGTAATTATAATTATGTAATCAGTCTGTTCTTTAGTAAAAGGCTATACCATTTCCAGTTTTTCAATTTATTGATTGAAAGCTTTCATTTGGAACGTGTAATATGCAACATGATATTATAATCTTTTTTGAAACAAAAACAAATAATTTTTCGTCCTTTTAGAAGCTGGATAAGAAATCATCTCCATCCACAGGAAGTTTGGATTCTGGAAATGAGCCAAAAGATAAATTATTGAAAGGAGAAAGTGCACTGCAGCGAGTCCAGTGTATCCCTGGCAATGCCAGCTGCTGTGACTGTGGTCTGGCAGACCCACGGTGGGCCAGCATCAATCTGGGCATCACCTTGTGTATCGAGTGTTCTGGGATTCATCGGTGGGTATGCCTGCCCAAGCTGAGAGACTTCTTTTGGATAAACGTGCATTGTAAATTACCATGTCCCATTGAATAGAGGGCCTTTTCTAATTGCCTAATTTGACTGCCAGTCTATATCTTTTTTATCTTTTGTAAAATGGATACAGTTCTCGTTTGTGAAGAGCTTTTGAGGACTTTGGTTCACCAGTCATTGAAATCAGAAGTTATATTTCTAATTATTATACATGTTGAGGGTTATAGTAGAGACTTTCACATAGTAAGAGTAAAGTAATTTGCATAATTACCAAATAGAGATTGATAATTTAATATATTCACAAAGTCTTTTTTCCCACTTAGGAGTCTTGGAGTTCATTTTTCAAAAGTACGTTCTTTAACTTTAGACACCTGGGAGCCTGAACTTTTAAAGGTAAAATAAATATTTACTTAAAATTTCATATTTTTACATCAATAGGAATTTAGATTGTTGGCTGACAAATGTCTAAGTTTTTTTTTTAAGTATATTTTATTGAGTATGCTATTACAGTTGTCCCTTTTTTGTTTTGTTTTGTTTTGTTTTGTCCCCATCCGCCCATACCCCTTTCCATCCAGCAAACCACGCCCCACTTAGTTCATGTCCATGGGTCATACATATAAGTTCTTTGGCTTCTCCATTTCCTGTACTCTTCTTAACTTCCCCCTGTCTATTTTGTACCTATTAATTTTCCTTCTTAATCCCTGTACCTGTTCTTCCGTTCCCCGTCTTCCCACACCCTGCTAATAACCTTCCATATGATCTCTATATATATGATTCTGTTCCTCTTCTAGTTGTTTACTTAGTTTGTTTTTGTTTATTAGATTCAGTTGTTGATAGTTGTGAGTTTGTTGTCATTTTACTGTTCATAGTTTTTATCTTCTTTTTCTTAAGTAAGTCCATTTAACATTTCATATAATAAGGGCTTGGTAGTGATCAACTCCTTTAGCTTTACTTTGTCTGGGAAGCACTTTATCTGCCCTTCAATTCTAAATGATAGCTTTGCTGGATAGAGTAATCTTGGTAGTGGGTCCTTGCTTTTCATGACTTTGAATACTTCTTGCCAGTCCCTTCCAGCCTGCAAAGTTTCTTTTGGAAATCATCTGATAATCTTATGCGAACTCCTTTGTAGGTAACTCTCTTATTTTCTCTTGCTGCTTTTAAGATTCTCCCTTTATCTTTATTATGATGTGTCTTGGCGTGATCTTATTTGGGTCCAAATTGTTTGGGATTCTCTATGTTTCCTGGACTTGTGTGTCTATTTCCTTCACCAAAGTTTTCATTATTTTTTCAAATAAGTTTTCAATTTCTTGCTCTTCCTCTTCTTCTGGCATCCCTATGATTTGGATGTTGGCACTGTTGGAAATGTCCCAGAGTCTTCTTATTCTCTCCTTGTTTATTTGAATTCTTGTTTCTTCATTCTATTCTGGTTGAATGTTTATTTCTTCCTTATGTTCCAAATCGTTGATTTGAACCCTGTCTTCCTTTGTTTCACTGTTGATTCCCTTTTGATTTTTTCTTTATTTCACTTAGTGTAGTTTTCATTTCTTCCGTTACGCATTTGCCATACTTAGTGAGTTTTCTGAGCATCCTTATCACCAGTGTTTTGGACTCTGCATTTAATAGGTTTGCCATCTCCATTTTGCTTAGCTCTTTTTTTGGAGTTTTGATCTGTTCTTTCAGCTGGGCCATATTTCTTTATCTCCTGAATTTGGCAGCTTCCCTGTGTTTGTTTCTTTGTATTATCAGGTAGAGCTGTTTTGACTCCCTGTCTTGGAACACCCCTTACATTGTAAGGGGCAGAGCCTTAGGTACTCTCCAGGGTGGAGCAACCTGCTTCACCGCTTAGTGGCTTTGTATGTGGGGGTGGGGCTGGAGAGGCAACAATGCTGCTTGCTCAGCCATCACCCAGTTCCAGTCACTTCACCCACTTCCTGTATTCTACCAGCAGCACCCCTCTAGCTGTTGCCCTGGCTGTGTTTCCCAGAGTGGGTGGGTTTGCATATGTTCTAGGGCTATGGGGGCCCTCTACATGGACTCTCGTGAGAGACTGGCAGTTTCTTCCACTGCCTCAACCCCCACTGGTTTTTACAGCCAGAGGTTATAAGGCTTTATTCTCCTATCACTAGGACCCTAGGCTGCAAGGTCTGGCCTAGGGCTGGGGTGGCTCGCTCCCCAGGTGTTCCTACCAGTTTTTATCTGCCACACACTGAATGTAGGACCACTTTTTCTGCCAGCTGCTGTTGCCTTGCTGCCGTAGTGTGTCCTCTCTGCCCCAGCACCCTGTCTCCTTCCCTTCTACCCATCTGGATGAAAATTTCTTCTTTGTATCTTAGTTTTTAGACTTCTATACAGTTTGATTTTCTGGCAGTTCTGGTTGCTTTTTGTTTTGAGGTTGTGATACTTATGGTTGTGCGAGGAGGCAATGCATGTCTACTTACACTTCCATCTTGGTCAGAAGTCCTCCAAACATGTAAGTTTCTCAATGCTAATGATTAACTATATTGTTTTGGAACATATGTAAGGCTATTTTGACCAATCTGTTATTTTTATATCGGATTATAAAAATTTCTAAGTCTATGTAGGACTCTTAACTCCCAATCAGCTCACTTTTTAAGGAAACCAGTGTTGCTACATTTTTATGTTTTCTCAAAAAATATCTTAGGTCCTGTGCCTTAATTTTAATCTTTTATAATTATATAAATCCTTGATAAAAATATGAGACACGTTGCTATAGAAAGCTTCATAATGGATTGGCATAGTATGTTGTTTTCATTGGGTTATTTTAGCATAGGAACATTTGCAAATTTACATTTGTCAGGGTAGTAGTTATCAAACCAAGATATCTTTTTTCCATGTGTAAGGATTGATAGCTATGAAAATGTGATAAATAATTTTAGATCACATCTGGGTTTCTGATAAGATTTACAAAACTCATAGATAACAGTATATTCCTTTTAATTCCCCCCATTTAGTTTAAATGTGTATACTCTTCATTTTGTCTGAAAATTGTGTTTTAATGTGCTTTTGTTTTTTCTCACTGTATATAAAAACTAGTAATCCTATTAATTATGTAAAGTAAAAAATTTGCTTTGTGTAAACCTCTAAATTAAAGTGATAAATTGTCTTCTAATGTAGACCCCTATTTACATAGATTCTATTAATCAGTATCAACTCAAAGGTGAAGAAAGTAGGGGAATAGAGGCAGGAATCTAATTTCTGCATCAACTTTGTGTGTAGATATGAGCTCAGTGAGTTCAATTTAGAAAAGTTGTTGGGAACACAACTGTGCGATGCTTTAAAAAAAATGACCAAAACTTGTAAACAAACTATTTTGAAATACTTATATGTGAAGTATAATGAGAAAATAGTTTATTTCACTTCTCTATTGTTTAAAACTTTACCTGCCTGGCCTTAGATTTCTTTTTTCAATTGATTTACTAAACATTGTGAATAACATGCAGCATTACGCTAGCCATAGCAGAGTGATAGAAACTAGCAGAAGATGGGAAAGGCGAAGCCTTTTCTTGTAGGAATGGTAATCCTCCAGGAGAGGTATCTTGGTGAAGAATGGCAAATGGTGATATTGCCCTCTGCTCTTATCATCTTGCTTTAAACTTCTTTGTGGAATGAGCAGTTACAGAATATGCTAAAGGAATTATCTAGCTGTACTTGCATAGTATTTTTAGGAATTCATGGCTTATTTTTCTATTTCCCTGCCAAACAGCTTATGTGTGAGTTGGGGAATGATGTTATAAATCGAGTTTATGAAGCTAAAGTGGAAAAGATGGGAATAAAGAAACCACAACCAGGACAAAGGTACTATTTCAGTTGTCTTAAAAAAAAAGTTTTACTAATTTATTTTGAGAGAGGAAGGGAGGGAGAAAGAGATGGGGAGAAACGTCAGTGTGAGAGAGAATCATTGATTGGTTGCCTCTCAGACATGCCCAACCAGAGACCCAATCGTCACCCCAGCTTGTGCCCTGACTGGGAAGTCTAACTGACAACCTTTCGCTTTTTGCTTTTCTGGACAACACCCAACCAACTGAGCCACACCAGTCAGAACACTTCAGTCGTCTTAATACATTATCTTCTTTTCCCCCAATCAGAAATATAGGTATGATTTTATTTCACTAAAACTGATATGTAATACTTTAAACAGACTGCTTAGAAAAGGTCATTACTGCTTCTGTTAAAATATGGCTACAAAATTATTTTTTATTCATCAGATAGTCAATTATAGTCTCGAGATAATCTTAAAAATGAAGGTTCTACATAGGAATGTAAAAGCTCTTGGCAGTTAAAGGAGACCAAAGTTCCCTTAGTGGCCAGCCTTTAAAAAGGGATAATCTCTTCAGTAATGTATCTAAGGATAAGGTTTCTACTACAAACAATAAATAATTTTACATTGTGTGACTGAGTTCAGCAAGTATTAGTTAATCACATGCTTTATACATAACATTATGATGTTGAAGAATTAAAGATGACACGGTAATAGAGAGTACTTAACTGCTGTGTTTGAAATTATACTTCCATTTCTGTATATGGAGGCTCATTGAATAAAGTGGCTAAGAGTGCCTTCAAGATACACAGTTCGTTTTGGTGGTTGGTATTTTACATTTAAATAACTGTTTATGTATACACAATACCGTTTTAAAACTATTACACTGTAAACCAGTATCACTTAAATCAGACTGTTTATTTGCTAAAGCATGGCTGTTTGAGTTACTTTAGACCTTGAAATAACCTATTTTAGCCAAACACCTAAGCATTTAAAAATGATATAAGTAAGACAATGTATAGAAAAAAACTTGGCATTTTATGGTTCTATAAGAAATCAAAAGTTTAAAATGTGACATCTTTTCTCCCCCTTAAGTTAGGAATGTGATGTTGTTTTAAAGTAGTTGTCTTATCAATAGTGATAGTTGACTATGTGAAATCATTGGAGTAAAAACGAAGCTAAAGCACAAAGAACTATTATAGACATGAAGGAGTACAGAAGTTAAGAGAATGCAATGTTAATACTTGTGATATTTTTAGTTTATTATTTGTATTTTATTTGAACATGAAATCATAACTCATTAAATATTTGGAAGGAAAATGTTGCACACTGTCACAAATTCAGTTTTAATTAGTTTTACATTTACTGACCTTCTTTGAAATATTCAATATACATATAATGTCTTCTTTTCAGTATTAGTTATGTTCAGAGACTAAGCAAAACATCATGACATTTTTATGTTTACCAGACAGGAGAAAGAGGCATATATCAGAGCAAAATATGTGGAGAAGAAATTTGTGGATAAGTATTCTACATTATCATCACCTCCTGAGCAGGAAAAAAAGATTGTCCCCAAAAGTTGCGAAGAAAAGAGGCTGAGCATTTCTAAACTTGGGCCAGGTGACCAAATGAAAGCATCTCCCCCAAGTTCAGGTATTACAACTTACTTCTATATATAATTTTTTTGTAAGCTGATGTTACTTTTTTAATCTCTGAATTAATAGCCATTTGAGATTTTTTAAATGCTAAAAACCTGTTTCCTTCTACATATCTAAGGAAAAATTGGATTCTATGTCTTTAAAACTATTACATTTAAATAGGTCTTAGTAATTCAGATTTTTAGGTAATGTGTATATCCTAAGGACTAAAACTGCTTAAAGTGCAGAGGGAGATGGGAATTATAATTCTATCATGGCAAAAAAGCCCTAAATATCTGATTAACCACCTAATAGCCTTCCTATTTTTTCTTCCTAAATTTTTCCCAGTAACGTTTTTTCCTGCCCTTTTCCCTTCTTACGGCCTGCTTTGTGCTTTGCTAACTTGCATGTCCCCAGTGGTTGCTGTAAATAGCGACGAGGCCAGGCGGGAGTCTCTGTTCTGTCCTGATGAGCTAGATTCACTCTTCTCCTACTTTGATACTTCTTCAAAACTCCGTAGTAGTAAGTACTACTCTTGTGAAGCATTCAAAGTCTGTGCCAGTGGTCATTGTGCAGTGTGGCCATTTCTCTAGATGTTACTCATTGTCTCAGAATTACACATTACTTACAGTCATACAATAAATTAAGATTTTTACTACCTCTTACATATTATGGGGTAATGAGATAAGTTACAAGTCTGAAAATAAGTTTATTTTCAGGCTTCATAACTGGTTCACTTTTTGATAAGCTAAGTGCTCAAAAGGATTAAAATTGTATTAAATGTATGCTACTGGTAGTGGTTGCATTCACATTGAAATATCAGTTCATTTTCAAACCTCGTTGTTTGTGGGAAGTTATTTTGTAATGACTTTTTAAAATCACTAGTTGGTTTTTCTTTCAAACAGTCAAAAGTAATGACAGTGGAATCCAGCAGAGCTCTGATGATGGAAGAGAATCTTTACCCTCTACAGTTTCAGCCAATAGTTTATATGAGCCTGGTGAGTTTTGATGAAATCCAGTGTTAATTGGTATTTACTGAAAAATGTATGTGTTAAATGCCTTGTCTTGATTAGTTTCTAAAGCAGGTGGTTAGTCTTTTGGAAGAAACTAAGGAAAGAGTAATACAGTTTAATGAAAAGGCAGCTCTTTCTTTTCATATTTGGAAGTTCTCTCCTAGCTGTACATTTTTCGCAGCCTCATGATATGTGCTAAAAGTGCGTTGACAATAGTAAAAACAATAGTTTTTAATCCACATGAACTGTGTGTATTACGTGTGTGTGTGTGTGTGTGTGTGTCTGTCTGTCTGTCTGTCTTGTCTTAGGAGGAGAAAGAGATCGGCAACTCCCTCCCCATTAGGTTTTCCTATGTTTTTACTGACCTGTGCTTTACTTCTATATTCTCCTTCATGATTTTAGTGATTTTGTTTTTGCAGAATACTCTGGGTAGTAACATTCTTCAGATTATTTGAATTGCTTATGCTGACAATTCTGATGGTATTGGATCACCCTAAGAATGAAGTTAGGTGTTTGTCTAGTAGTTAAATTCTTTAGGGATTCTTACTCTTCTCAGTCTTTAAGTCCAGGCTTATTGGAATATATCTAATTTTAACCTAGTACAGAGTAATTAACCTACCTATTGGATGCTGGCAAGACCACAAAGGCCTGGCGTACTAATTGATGGATTTATAAGAAGAGAAGGTTGACTGTTTGGGGAGTGATTAGTCTATTAGAAATAAAATATCTTTGTGAAAATCTCCCATCACCTCATTTTATTAAATTAGTGGTTTCTTCTGTCACAGCTTTCACATTGTGAGACAGTTAACAGTTTTTTTTGTAATTGTGGTGAGTTACACATAATGTAAAATTTATCATCTTAACCATTTTTAAGTGTACAGTAGGTGGCATTGTCTGTTCACATGGTTGTGAATCACTGCCCTCCATCTATAGAACTCTTCATCTTGCAACACTAAAACATTGGGCCTATGAAACACTAACTTCTCATTCTTTTCCTCCCCAAGAGTTCAGTTTTAATGATGTGTTTGTGTTTGCTTTTCAGAGGGAGAAAGACAAGATTCTTCCGTGTTTCTTGACTCTAAACATCTTAATCCAGGACTCCAGCTTTATAGGGCTTCATATGAAAAAAATCTTCCTAAAATGGCTGAAGCTCTGGCTCATGATGCAGATGTGAACTGGGCTAATTCAGAGGAAAACAAAGCAACGCCACTTATTCAGGCTGTGTTAGGGGTATGGATTTGTACCTTGAGGTTTTCAGTAGTACTAAAATATATAAAAGCACAATTCATTCGGAACACGTCTTCAGCATTATTTTTTATTTAAAGAGATGGGTTAGAAAATCAAAGAAGCTAGTAGATTCTGGGCATCACTTTGATTGTTGTGAGCTCAATTTTTTTCTTTTTCAATTAAAACTAGTTCTTGGGAAGAAATTATATAATTTATCATTTTGCTGGGGGGTATTTTCTCTTTAGGGGAGAATGAAGTAGGAAAGGCTATTAGAATAAAGTCAACACTTTTTAATAAAAATATATTATTTGTTTTTCATACATTGTTATCTTCTTTTCTCTAAGGGCTCTTTGGTGACATGCGAGTTTCTCCTACAGAATGGTGCTAATGTAAACCAAAGAGATGTACAAGGGCGGGGACCACTGCACCATGCCACTGTCTTAGGGCACACAGGGTAAGCTGTAATACTTAGATATTTAAGTAGATTTTACCTGAAAAATTATTTTGAAATAATGTTTTGCTTTAAGAGATGAGTTAGAAAATAGAAAAAGCTAGTAGTGATTTCTGAGCATCGCTTTGTGTAAGCTCAATTTTTCTTTTCTTAATGGAAGAGAATTCCGGTAATGAAAGTTCTGTGTTTTGCTAGATCACAAACTTTTTCTCAGGTTTAGACCATTAGATGAAATTTGTAAAGTGATTCTTTCCTATGCCTCACATTATCATGATGGAATGTAAAATTTTTTAAAACTCATTCAGAAAAAAAGCTGTTAATACTCAGATAAGAAAATTGCAAAGCTTACTTGGAACTTACTTGCCATACATGTATAGGTCAATTTCAGTATTTAAAACTTAGTGAAATATGGCGATTTTTGTCAGACTGTGTATGTATTAAGTCTGTGTATGTATTTATGCATGTAGACATACATTATAAACATACACACATTTTGGGAGAATTTTCTAACTCTGGACATTTTAGTTTTCCCACAGGGTAGCTAAAGTCAAATTTTAAAGTAAATTATTAGTCTGTACTACTGATAGTTGTGGCTTCTGGAGCAGTATTTAGACTCACAGAATAAATAACACCATGAAAGTGGACTTTCTGTTAGAAGGTACAAATGAAGTCAAAATATTGGCCTTACATGAAAAGTGTGTGAATGAATGATTTTTCTTTAGTAAAACCTCTCAGAATATGCAATTCTTATTACTTTAACAAGTAAACTGTTTTTGTTGTTGTTGTTGCTTTCCCTCTAGTACTAAAGAGATTCAGTTCAGTAACTTTATAAAAACTTTTCTGTACTTAAAAATGGTAGTATTTAACTCATTCTTTGTATTTTTTTCTTAAACAATCATACTTCTTCCCATTTTACTTTATAGACACCATTTACTCACCCGTTCATTTTTTTTTTACTTTTGTCAATTTCTTCAAGTTATAATATTTGTAGAGTACAGTTGGAAAACTACTTCCCATTCAGCCATTGTATTATCATTAATATATTATGATGTTAACATTACTCTCCCTGGCTTCCTGCTTTCCCAAATAATGACCTTGAGTGATACTTGATTTAAGTTTATGGATAAATGTGTATATCCTTTTTATGATATTCTTTGAGGATAGGGACCATAGTTTATACATAGTACATTGCCATATAGCACCAAATTAAATATGAAAAATGTCTCTTGACTTACAAAATACTGATTATGGTAAATTTGATTAGTCAGTGTTCAGTAAATATTTGTAGAATGAATAAGAATTTGCTAATGACAATGTTATTTCTTTAAGTTAGGGAGTGCTTTTTATTTTTTAGTGTAATTACTTCTTTCTTATTGACAATATCTCAAAAATGCTGTTTACTTAAACAGGCAGGTATGTTTATTTCTAAAACGAGGGGCCAATCAACATGCCACTGATGAAGAAGGGAAAGACCCTTTGAGTATAGCTGTGGAAGCAGCCAATGCTGATATAGTGACCTTGTAAGTGTTTTCTTTTTACTTGATTATTTCCCATACAATATATTACTTGTATGAAGTTTTAGCCCAGTTACCTGGGTAGTTTTGAACTTTAAACTGGCTGGTTGTTTACTATGTACCATATACTTCTCTAAGTACATTAAATGTATTAAGCACTTTATTTACATACATGAACTTATTTGGTTCTTACAACAACCCTATGAGGATGATATTATTATTATTAGTCTCATAGTATAAAGAAGCCAAGCCACAGATAATTTGAAAAACTGAGTGGCAGAGCTGGGATTTGAAACCAAGAACTCTGGCTCTAAAACCCATGTTCTTAGCCACTTCTGTTATACTGCATGACCAGTAGGAACAGAAAACCAGTGAATTCTCTAAAACAGATTCTTTAAGCCTTAGTACAGTATTGGGATCGAGGTTGGATTGGTACAGTAACAGGCTATTATTCTGCTACCTTGAGAATTAGAGGAGTATAAGTAGGTAGGACATCTGATCGGTGTTAGTAACCTTTGCTCTTGCATTCCTTCTGTGCAGTAATACTGTAGGATGTTTGTACTTATTTTCAAAGAGTACTCTTTTAAGATAAAAGCACTTATTTTTTAATGTTTAGATACAATTTAATATGATTTGCTAAAGAATGATTTTTGAGGCCTTTAATTTTTATCTTAGATCATAGTTATTTGTTACCCTTGGAATCTAGAAATGTGATTTCATCTACATGTCATTATTATGTAGGAAATTTCAAGTATATCGTGTATGAAGTCACTTTTTCATTCTATTCTGGGTTGAATTAAGCCCAGAATTATTGATCCTTTGTTATATGAGTAGAGGCAGTTCCATTCACTTACAAAGAGAAACTCCCATGACTGCTTGGACTCCTGAGCTCCCTCTGAGAATTCTTGATTTGCCATATATCACTCTGCCCTGACTCTCTGCCAGATTTAAAGAAAAAAGAAAAGAAAAGAAAACACTTTCTCTGTACTCAACTTCCTTTCCCCACTGGAGGGGTTATTGTTACTGAGGAAGCTATTGTAGGAAATTTTTGAACTATTAAATCATTATAGGTTTGTAACTAGAGAAAGATACATTATTGAAGAAAAGATAGGAATAGTGTACAGAAAGAAATCTTGGTTTTTGCAGGGTTCCCAGGCAAATCTTATGGCCCCTCTTCCTCAAAGATATCTGTTCTCATTATCTAAATTTTTGAAAATAGACACTCTCTCTGAAAAGTCAAACTACTAAAGGGAGAGTTGTGGCGCTACTATTAATACACATAGTGGTTGGAAATGAGGATGGAAGGGATTTGTGATACTGTGAAGATAGGAGAAGCCCATGTCAGATGCTGCAGTTGCCAGAGAGAGCATGTTGGAAGAGAGAGACAGAGGCCTGGGAAAGCAATGACTATTTGGTGGCCTGAAGGACAGGAGAGTAATACATGGGAAGAATTTCTTGTCTTCTTAATCCAATGCTTCATGTCTTCCTGCAGCCAGGATGGATAGCCCCAAAAAGAATGTATAACCAATATGATATTTTGAGGAAAATCTTGGTTATCTGTGCCCCTTATTTGATGTTTGTATATCAAAATATATTACCAGTATTTAGAGGTAACACACGCTGTTTATATGTCTGGAACTGCCTCACCTCAGGGTGAACCAGAGTAAACTTATGACAGGTTATTGCTCCCATACTATAGGAGCAGTAATTTCAGCAGTTGGTGGTTAAAGTTTGATAGGTTGCTGTAGAAGCCAGGAATTCTCTGGAGGGTGCTTAGGTGCTACAAGAATCCTACTTAAACAGAGCTGAAATGCAATTTTTTTTAAATGACCATTTTTGTTTGTTTGTTAGAGAGAGGGGAAGGGAGGGAGAAGAGAGGGAGAGAAACATCATTGTGCGGTTGCTTCTCGTGTGTGCTCTACTTGGGACCTGGCCCACAACCCAGGCATGTGCCCTGACTGGAAATCGAACTGGTGACCCTTTAATACTGAGGCCAACACTCAGTCCACTGAGCCACGCCAGCCAGTGTTGGGAACCGTCCCACCTGGTTTCAGGGACTGTAGACGAACCCTGCACATACGGTTCTCAATAAAAGCCATTTCAAGAGAAGGGCTCAGGGCATTCTCTACTAGAGGGAATCACCACTCCCTTTTCCTGGCAGACTGAGAAGTGTCTAGAATGAATTATTTTATTTCCCTCCATCCACGGCAACCTGCGGGGGACTCTGCTCAGGATGCGATACCCGCCTCGCGCCAGGGCCTGAAATGCACTTTTATTGCTTCTCTCATGAGAATTATATAAAGTGAAATACAATTATTTTTGTATCTCAGAGTATTGGGTCTGATAGAATAAAAGCCTGTTTATTTTCGTGGCAAATATTGATAAAAGAAAAAAATTGCATTAGTACATATTTTAGCTGCTTATGTAATTCCTTAGTTTATGAATATTTATATTGTATAACTTCATCTAAAAATGCTTTTATTTAATTTTAGGTTACGTTTAGCAAGAATGAATGAAGAGATGCGGGAATCAGAAGGACTTTATGGACAGCCAGGTCAATATTCTACTAATAATCATACTGAAATGCAGTATAAGAAATGCATTCAGGAATTTATCAGTTTACAATTGGAAGACTCATAATTCTTTAGCAAACTAACTTAATATTGTAGAGTATTTAATAACCTGTAAATTGTGAGTTGTTAAGTATGTACTGTACTTACTGAATTCTTGGGTGACTAACTCGTGGGCCTTTAAATATCCATAACTATTCCTGTTACAGTACACATTTACTTGATGTATTTAACTCTGGCTGCTGATTTCTTTCTCTGCTGTACAGATAGATGTCTTCCACAGACATTCCAGTGAAGTAAATGGAATGATAACATATCTTTGTACACTTACAGCAGCACAATAGTCATATTCTTTTTGAATTTCTCATTAGCTGTCAAGTGAATATAACAAAATGGTTTTCTTTTTGTTATTCAGGGAATTTCTATAAATTGTGTTCAGGGATAAAACAAATAACCATATGTTTCGCATATGTAAGTCAGTATGGAAAATACTTAGAAAATTATTAAGAGTTTTGTACTCTGTTATAAACATGAGTTGAAGGTTTAAAACTAAATTTACCAGAAGGTTAAGAAGTCCATAATGGAAGTGGAGTTAGTTTAAAAGGTATAGAGAAAAGGTCTCATTTTACCTTATAGCTTTGCCTCAAGCAACTGTACAGTATCTGTTAGATAAATGGAAGGTTTTTTTTAACAATATTTCATGAACCTGATGGCAACGTAAACTTAATCATCTTTGAGAAATCTAACTTAGGATCATCTCAAGTCACATTTTGAGTAATTTTCACCCTTGAGTCAGGATGTTAAGGAAAGGAAGAAATGTTGTTGATCAGATTCCTCTCTCTGATGAACATATCAAATAATTGAATATGCAATTTTATGAATTCAAGTATATGAATTACTGATTTATCTGTTTTAAAGTCATATACATATTAGTAAGAAATGTCTGGAATTCATGACTAAAATAGTTGAGATTGGTGTATTTGATTTTTTTAATGGATACTAGTATATTATTTGAAAAGTGGCTTGATAATATTATCTATTTTTCCTGTTTAAATGTTTTGAAATTTCTGTACTTCATCCTGGCTTCAGCCATTTACTTTTATTTTAACCAGATTAATATATGATTAATATGAATATTGGGCCATTCTTTTCTCAGAGGACTGTATTTACTACTTATTTTTTGTATAGTTTAACAGGGAACAAGTAAGAACTTTGAGAACAGAGGAACTTCATCTACATACTTCTAACTTAGGGTGTCCCGCTTTAATCCTATGGCTCAAACATCACTACTGACTTATGATATGCCAAGGTGTAATAAGACATAGCTGATTAAGGGTGAAGTCTCAGTGTTATTTCTGAATTTCACCCATTTGTTTTAAACTTGAATGTGAGATTTTTAAATAAGTTATAATTTTGTAACATATACTTAAGTGACAGTATTACTAGGTCATTTTTGAGGCCTTTGTGTTTAAGCACTTTAAAATAAAAAATTATTCAAAGGCTATAACTGATATTTGTGAGATAAGAGTGCTTTCAAGATTTTAAGTTGAAGAAAAAATTTTTCCCTGAAATTTTAAAAACTTAAATGTTTGGTGAGCTGCTCTTTCCTTATGGTGTTTGTTGAAGAAGTTACACCCAACCGATTAGTCAGGTCAGTGGCTGACTTTTCTCTGGAGATGGGATGTTTGAAAGGACAGGGCCTCTATGTTCTTGCAATTTCTAGTTCCAGCCAAATTGCTTGGGCTTTCAGTACTTATTTTTGAGCACTTAGGAGCATTCATGTCTCTTTCACTGTCATTTTATGTATAAGTTTATGAGTAATATACTTTCCATTCATCCTTAGAAAAATAAATTTTTGCAATTTATTCAAATTAAAATTTAGGGAGAAAAGCCTTGTTTTTAAAAAGAAACTTTTCCTACCACTCTCAAATATCAGTGCATAGGTTAAAAAAATAGATCAGAAGTCTGGAAATGATGTATCAACAAAATAAAATGAGATTTTGATCTATTTGAGGATCATCTTGATTGATAATAGATTTGTCTAATTTTTCTAATTAGATTTATTTAGAGAGTCTTGTATTAAAGCAGAACAATTTTATACCTATACAGTAACATGGTGAAATGGTACAGCAATTGCTCTCTGGCTACTTTTCCTTTATGAGTCTTTGGAGAGCAGATAGGTTTGCTTAGGCAACAGGTCTTTTTTTCCCCTTTGTCTATCACTCTAAATTTTTCTCACAGATTTTGATTGGTTATTTTATCTAGATCCTTTTTGTTGTTGTTGCCTAGCATAAGAAAGAAAACCTCAGAATCCTGGATAATTTTAAAATGCAAGTATTTTCAATCTTGATAATAAAGAGCCCTACCATTTAAAAGACAGGTATTATCTTTGGGAACCATGGACCTGTTTCTAGGAAACCCCACTTCTGAATTTTCCATATATTACCCTGACCTCAGACTACCGATTTTTTTTGCAAGGTAACCTTAAGAGCATCCATTTCCTGAAGGGAAGATTTGTCTACCCCTCTTTATCAGTTCCTGCAACTCTTAGAAGGATTGAGTTGGGGTGGTGGGAAATTTACCTTATAGGCAAAGCTATAAGGTAAAATGAGACCTTATACCATGCCCAGCTCTGAATTGGTGGAAACCAGTTCCTCTTGATTATTGGCAGTTTCTCAGAGGGTTGAAAATCACTGCTTTAGTTAACCTCTGCTGGTATATGAGAACATTGCTGGTAAAAGCTGATCACGGATCTCATCAGTTACAGAAGGAGGCTGAAATCGACCCAGAAGAGGCAGGATTAGTTGGGGGTAGGGCTTCACATGCTACCATCTCTTTGCTCAAGAGCAAATTCAACAGAATCTTGGATCACTCTAACTGCTGTTGCAGTGGCTAGTCTGAATACCAAAAACCAAAAACTATTTTAAACTATCAGTGGAAAGATAGCAGTCCACATTTAAAAACTCAGAGCTATCTACGCACATAGAAAATCTGACTTTTTCTGAAGAGAAATACAATGTGATTAAGTAATTTAAAGGATATAACTTAGCTTTAAAAATATTGGGTGATTAGTTTACCATTTACAATAAACTGTTAAATGTAATCTATGAACTTTCCAAGGCATTATATTCTGGATTATTATTTATGTATTCTAGTGTATACAAGTTATATTTATTTGCCTTGGAGAAAATTATAAATGATTAAAATTATATTTAAATTTAAAAGGATCACATTGAAGTTCAATTTGTGTTAACTATAATATCTTGGTAACTATTGTTATTATAACAGTTGTTTTTTGACCACACATTTTCAGGCCTAAGAAAGGTATTATATTGATAGTCCTTTATTTAGTGTTTTATTAGAAACTGAATGTTAACAAAAAGAGTTTTTTTGTGTGTTTGTGAAGGTGAGATTTCCTTCTGTATTGTATTTAATTCTTTTAAAATGTTTTCAGTAAGTGAAACCAATGATTGGTGTAGCACCAACACTTTCATTCAAGGAAGCACCTAATTCAATAAATAAAAGATCTTATATTTTTTGCATGGTACAATGGTTATACTAAAATGTACTTGTGTAATAGGTACTAGATGATTTTAAAATGAAAACTGGAAAACCACAAAAAGGAAAAAAAACACAGCTTGTTATACAAAATATGTATTGCTAATAGTAGAAGCCATATATTGCCGTTGTACTGTTGTAATACTTAAGAATGCTCATCTGGTGCTATCTGTAAACTATTTGGCATTAGTGTCTGCTAGATCCTTCTTCCTGTTTCTTCTTGAATGTATAATGTGTGCCTTTTAAGTTACTTCTGATGTGGAATGGTAAAATCAGTGTGGTATTTTTGTATTATAATCTGCACTTTATACTTTCTTGGAAAGTAAAATTACAGACTCTCCAGTTTAAATAGTATTTTAAAAATATTTATAATGTTTACAATAAATATTTTAAATATTTTAATTCAACATCTAAGAATAAGAAAAATTTTTAAATATTTTGTATGGTTTCTTAATTGATATTTAATGTTGGTCTCTTCTCAGTTTATATTCCTTTTGAGTGGCTAAAAATGGGGATAGATTGTAGTTTGTCTTTTAATGTGGGAGTAAACTTTTAAAAAATCATGGTATAAACTGATATAAATTGGATTGTCTTACCAGTTCTAATATATCAACCTTTATTTTTATTGTTTTAGTAATAATGAGTTAGATAATACTCTTAGCCAAACCTATTAAGATTCTCTCCTTTTTTCTTTTAAAAGTAGACTAATTGATTCAGGTCATTCGAAAATTTCTAGGGATAAATGAACACTATATAAAGATCTTAATAACTTGCTTTTTGCATAGACTAAATATTGAAAGTATTAAAATTTTTAATTGAAAATTTTAGTTTATGCTATTAGACCATTTTACTAGATCTTTATCCCCCTTCTCAGACTTTTTTCTAATTCTCTAGCTTTTGGTATGACATCTATTGCCTCAAAAACCTCACTTTTCAAAAGCTGACAAAACTTACTGCACTATTAACAACTGTAGCAAATGACTTTGTAATAAGATGGATGCAAGCTATAGTATGGGAAACAGTTATAAAACCATGTTGCAACATCAGTCATGTGAAATAGTGTTTGACAGTCTAAATCTTGAAAACAGAACTATGTTAAGTTTCTGTATAAAGCTGATGTTTAATAGGAAGCATTCATGATGGATGATTCATCTTGAAAATAACATTTTATACAAACCCTTTATCTGAGGAATAATCTGTATGTGTGTATATATTTAATTTTTCATGGCAAGAAATAGAGTATTCAATCTGCTATAGTATCGATATGTATAATCTACTTCTCTACAAACACATTTGTATGTAGATATATATGTCTATTATTCTAACTTAACATGTTTTTCATACTTATTCCCCTTTATGTCATAGCATTCTTGCTCATATGACCTACAGTAAATAAAAAACTTCTGACTAAATGTGAAATTATGATTTTATAGTCCTTTTCTAGGCTTTATCATTTTATAAGCTCAGTAAGAGGTGGATTAGGCACATTAATTTTAGTTAAGCATTAAAGTTGGAGTTAAGAATTTTTTTTCACATGCTATTTAAATTAAAATGCCTATTAATTAAAAGATAAAGTTTTCCCCCAGTATCTCATTATCACTTTTGTCTTCTTAATAACTTGCATCCATCAGAAGCCTTTAGTATTGGTTTTTGGTCTTTCCTTCTGGTCCTGATCAAAAGAAATATTTATTTAAAGATTGCCTTGTTTAAAAAAACACAGTAAAGATTCAACTTCAAAAGTCAAATGAACAGAAAAAAAAAAACACCTTGTTTACTATACCTCACTTAGAATAATTTTATTTCTCATGTACTAATAAATGTATTTCTATATATTACTTTAAAGTATTTGCGTCTTTGCTCTATTCTAACTCTGAACTTTCCTCTGTGGCTGCATTTGAGGTGCTTTTTTCAGGTATAGTTTTTCTTTTTCTTTCTCTGCATACTTTTCCAGCATTTATATTAAATTCATCTTTTTCAAAAATGCTCATCTGAACAAACTTTAATATAATGAATTATAACATAGTTACTAGTCATAAAACTGAATGTTTATTAATTTCTTTCATTGTATAAATTTTAAAAGTGTCCTTATTTTACTTTCATGCAGGTGATGAAACTTATCAGGACATTTTTCGTGATTTTTCCCAAATGGCATCCAATAATCCAGAGAAATTAAATCGTTTCCAGCAAGATTCACAGAAATTCTGAATTTTTTTAAGAAGGGGAAAATATTAAATCTGGTGACTTCCTAATGTATACATCTGAAAACTCACAAATTTTTACTACTTTAATTCTATTTAATTTTAGTAGCTATTGAGTGGTTTGGGAAATAGTCACCCATTCATTGATACAAAGTAAAACATAGGCTTTTAGTAGTTGGAAGAGGAGTCTACTTTAGAACCTTAGGAAAGGAAAAAATTCTGTTTAAAGAGCTATTTTTATAAATAAAAGTTGTCTCTAGCCATCTTTAGGTTACTAGATCCTAAGAGTTAGACAAAAAAATCTTTTTTCTTTTTTTTCTTTCTTTGCTAGTGGGTGGTAGCATTGATTTTTCTTCTGTGCATCGTGCCCAGTAGTATTCAGTCACACTTCTCTGCATCAAGTGGGAGCCAGCTGTCCTTCCTGTCTCAAGAAATGGCTTTTCTTTAGTTTCCCGCATGATTTTTAGTGTTTCAGAAATTGTTTTGTTTTCTTTTGGTAGCCTAGTTATACACACAATATGTAATTTAATTATTAGAACCAGAGAGTGTGTTTCCTGCATTTGCTCATAAATACAGTTATACTCTTTAGATGTCTGGTTATTGACCAATACCTTAACATACAAACAGTTGCTAAACAGGTAAATATAACTCAGTCCTTCAGATTTATTCCATTTTATGAAGCAAAAAGAAGCCCTTAGCAATTTCTTTTTATCATCAAAAGATTCTCAGTTATAGATATGGTAGCTCTTCATTGTTGGGTTGATTTCATAAAACCTTGACAAATTTATTGATGTAATAAAACTGTGTTTCAAAGGTTACTTGAATGTTGCAAAATTAGGCTTTTGTCAGATTTTAACTTTCAGAGGAAAAGCTGATTTATAAAATAATGTAGAGTATTTTTTATTTGAAACTTGTCCTTTTCAAGATGCATTTTTGCTATTAGTCTTGTGAAAGAAAAATCTTTGTAAAAGGAGAAAAAACATCATGTTTTTCTTAGTTTTTACTAAAATATGGCAATAAATTGCTTTTTAATTTTTCCAACGTCTATCCTATGTACTTGTTGTACACAATTTAAATATCTTTTAAATTGTAACATTAGATAGGCTTAGATTTGGTTTTATGAATCACAAACTCTTGAATTCCAAAATATTATGGATATATTAATTTACCATGTATATGCTACAAATTAGTCTAATTTGTCTTTGGCTGACGTATGTTGTCACGATTATAAAGTAATTAGTAAATTGTCTTAAGGCTTCTTTCTAATATTGTCAGTAACTAAGTTTAATCTTTTACAAGTTACATGTGTTATTATTGATCTTAGTTTCAAAATAAAAGAATTTTTTTTAACTTGAATCAAATAAGTAGATAAATAATACTTAATTGGGTAGATAATATATTTTCTAACCACCCCCTCCCAGTAACTAGAGTTTTCTAAATGTAATTGATCATCAAAACAGAATCATTCTAAACAGGAGTTACACTGAAATAAATTCACATCACAGAAAAGGTTCTGTGTTTGTTTGGCCAAATTGCATGTATATGATGATGATTTAGTAATAATCACTGCATATTAGAGAAGACTAAAAACTTTATTAATTATTTCTAAGGAAATGCTGACTTCTAAAGCCTTGTATTGTAATTAAAACAATAGCAGTAACATTAAATCTTTCTTCTTTCACCTCAGAATCACAGATTTATAACATTTTTGTTAGATTGTACTTGGAAGTTAATTGTTTTAAAAAACTCAAAGGTAGGAAAATATGTTGAAACAAATGGAAGAAAGGAAGGAGGGAAGGGAAGGAAAGCAAGGAAGGAGAAGGGAGGGGAAAAGAGAGCCTCACTTTTCTTTTGTATTGACTATTCCTGTTTGAATCTTGGGACTTTACTCCTAAAGCTTCTAACTTTTATCTGAGGAAGCCCAGGCAGTTTTCCTTTTGATCCAGCCATTGGTGCTTCAGAAAACCTCTGGGATCTCTGTTTATGAAGGCAATTTTTCATGACACTCTTACCTCCTATGGCTTGAGTCATGACTTGTTAACATGACAGTAATTGGTGTTTACTTAAATTTAATGGTTAGAGATGTATTTGGAGTACGCTAAAGATTATCATGGTTCTGAATATCTTCAGAGAAAGCAAAATCTTTAACAGTACAGGGAGTCTGGTACTACAAAAATACATTTCTGTGGCTTGATTTCTTGAACATGCTGAGACATAATTTGGGATTAAATTCAGAAATGATACAGTAAACAGCAAGGCTATAAAGTAGAATAATCACAAAGTAGGTTGATTCTTACCAGGGTATATTTAGCTGTGTCAACTAACAGCTTTTCTATAGCATGTAACAAATCTCAGTTTTATTATGCTATAAATTATTCAATGCATTATGAAAAATTATAGTGTAAACAATGTTAATCCTGCTCTTGGGCTTCATAGGTCAATGTGATTGCCCTTTTGTTTTCTTTCCCTAACTGATCTGCTGATAGTGTTTTTTGATTGCTTCTCATTATTCTGTTAGCTCATATCATTAGCTCATTGACTTAAGTTAGATTAATATCAAAATAAGAATATTATTTGCACTATGAACAGTTCATTAGGTTCAGTTTCGTTAGAACTAGACTAAAGGTAATTGAGTAGTTATTTGCAACTTCAGTGTAACACATGTTTAAGATTTGCAAGGTTTTAAAAATTACTTTTGGTACAATCCTTAGGAATCAGGAAATTTCCAGGGATTCACTACATTAAAGTGTTTGCCTAAATATACTGGTCTTCAACTATAGATTTTAATGAACTTTGGTATCTGCTTTACAAAACAAATAGATTTAATTTAGAATATGAACTTTGGTTCTTCATGAGTACATTTTGCGGGGGGGAAATTATACCTTTATAATCTGGACAACTCAGATTTGTGATGCGTTAAGCAGTATTTTAGAAATATAATTTCATATATGGAAAGTATGGTTTCAAGAAACCAAATTGTATTTAAGACTAAATTTACTACCCAATTTGAATAATAAGACGTTCTCATATTACTCTTAGGGTGTCAAATTAACTTTTCTATTTGATAGCACTTTTTATCATGGAAATAAGCTGGAAAAATGATGTTTTTATAGAATTGTTTGTCTGGAATGACCTCCCACCTACATGACATCATGGAAAGATCACTAACTAGTAGTAACTGTTGTTTTTGGATTCAGAGCTCCTCACAAATAAAATGAATACGATGAAACAAAGAGAAACTATGACTGTATCCCTTTATATACTGTTCTGTTCACAATGTACTTAGACATAATTTTATCTCACCTGATTTCACAGTGGGACTTCTTCTCTCTTACTCTAAGAACGCCAATATTGTCTCTTTGATCTGGGCTACTCCTCTTGTTTTACTGAGGGGGTCACTGATTTGCAGTTCGGTGACATAGCACCAGAACCCCTGTCTGACTACTAGTGGAAGACACTTTCTTTGTTTCATGAATTCATTTGAAATCATTGTAAAACAGCAAAATCTGATAATGACTGCCAGCTTTCCTTGTGTTTTGATAAAGACTCCAAATATTATGGAGAACCTGGATATAAAATTATCTTGAAGGAATAGCACTTTTTCTAGTAGAATATGAAGACATGGAAAATGTATATTTTTGCAATAACACATTAATGAGGAAAACATCACAAAGGTAATTTTAATTTACCATATCCAGGCACATCTCATTTTATTGCACTTTGCTTTATTGGGCTTCACAGATGTTGCGTCTCTACAAATTGAAAGCAAGACACTCCACCAGCAAAAAAGATTATGACTTGCTTTACTGCAATACTTGCTTAATTGTGGAGGTCTGGAAACTAACCCACAATATCTCTGAGGTATGCCTGGACTTACAAATTTATTGGTGAAAGACAACTAAAATAGTTTGGGTTCAGTTTAGTTGAATCCTAACATCTACAGATAGGATTTTGTGGACATCCTTTTTTTGTTTACATAAATTTATCTACTTAAAATGAGAGAATGGGGGGAGGAAAGCAAGATATGATTAAATAAACTTCTCTCTGTGTTGGTCTTTTCACTATTTTATGTTATAGGTGTTCTTACTTTTCCTGAAGACTCCCCCCCCATCACACACGCGCGCGCGTGGGCGCGCGTGCACACACACACACACACATTTTGGGTATTAATTTTAAACAGGGAAAGCTTGCTACATTATAAAGATTATTGACATTTATTTTATACAAAGGCTAAAGGTTAGCTTTTGGAAATGGTGAGTTACTTTTCTCTGTGTTTACTTGTGCTTTGTGGTATTTTTTGCATCATTCCAGTCATAAAGACATTACATGTAATGTTTCTCACTACCTGTGAAAAGGTGTATTTTAAAGAATGTATAACCAACACATCATTTACTTGTTATTAGTATGTAGAGGATTTATATCTAATTTGTGAATGTGGTTTTACTGTAGTTTGTCACTGTAAATGGAACAAAGTACATTATAGTTATTCTAAAATGTACATTATGTAAGAATTGTATATATTACACTTGGATAAATACTTTGTATGCTGAAAAAATTATGGGTCAATAAAAGTTTCACCTCTGGCATAGTTCTTTTATGCTCAGATTTTCACTTTATTGTAAACTATAACTGCAGACTTACCTGTCATGTTTAAGGTCCTATTTTCCTTTCCAACCCTGTCAGAATCATCAAGATTGCTCCTGTTTCCTGATTGCTTCAGTAAAGAAATCTATTTTGATCTTTTAAAAATTTTCTTCTGCCTGCTCACACAGTTGTGTGTTTCTGAATTCATTAAATAAAAACCACAAAGATTTCGGGGGGGCTCTAGCTTTCTTTCTATTATGATTGACATACATGTTGACGTTTCTAACCTACACAACACATTCGCACTCAGTCCTTTTAACAAACAAAAACATGTTTTTATATAAATTGCGACTGAAGGATGGAAAGAACACATTTGGAAGTGAATCACCTGATTTTGCCTTTAAAAGCTAATTGAAATCAGACATGTAAAACTTTTCTGTGTAACTTGCTTTATTCCCCTTCATTTCATTTTCAGAATAGTTCTCTGAAAAAGACAGCACATACCACTAATCAGTAAATGTTTTAAATTAAAACAAAGCCTGCTTTTTGCTCATTGCAAAACAATGCATTTTCATTATATAAAAATGTTTAAATAAATGAAAATAATCATCCATAATTCTATCATCTGCCCATACTGTCCAATGTGGTATCCATTAGCCCCCTGTGGCTATTCAAATTTAAAGTACACAAAACTAAAAGTTTACCTTTTGCACTGTCATGGTTTAAGAGTTCATGTGTGTGTCTTGTGACTGCTGTTTTGAACACGGCAGATTGTAGAACATAGCCCTCGTCACAGGAAGTTGTATTGGATAATACCAAGGGGGAAACTTCCTTGGCATACACCCTTATAGACCTTTGGGAATGTATTTATATAATGCGATAATGCTGTTTTGTTACCTGCTTCTTTCATTTAATGGAGAACACACTTGTAAGTCCTTTTAAGTTCTATGTCATGTTGGGGAGAATTTTAAAAAATATGAAAAACTTCAAACATACAAAAGCAGAATAACTTCAATAGATACTACCTCATGGCTAATACTGTTATCCATACTCCCATTTTCCTATTCCCCAAATTTTTTAACCAAATCCCAGACATTTAACCAACGAATTGTTCAATGTGTATCTTTAAAAGAACTCTAAAAAATTCGTAATACCATACTTCTTTAGGAAACTAGTATTAAAATTTTCATGATTGTCTAGTGTTATTTCAAAAATACATTCTTCAAGTCAGAGTTCATATTTTATTCATTGCAGTTGGCTAACATGTCTCTTCAGTCTTTATACTTTCTTCTGTTGTTTTGAAAAATTTCTATTTGCACCGTGACTGGTGTGGCTCAGGTGCTTGGGCAATGTTCGGGCAAAGCGAAACAGTGCCAATTGGATTCCCAGTCACGGCATATGCCTGGGTCACAGGAAGTTACAC